CGAGTTGGTTCTTAAATTAAATATTATATATATTCTAGAAGATCGCGTATATTCCTATATTAAATATAATATATATGCTAATCGGTATTTCGGTAAAATCTTTAACGATCTGGGATGGAAACTAATTATATGGCGCGGTAAGGTTATCCTACCGTTCTAGAAATAGGACGCCGACGAGCCAGTTTTTTAGCAACGACGGGGCGAAGAGTAGTATATATATTAAAGAATAATTGTCGATAATAATGTTGTCGTCCTTCTTTATTATATATATTTAGATTATATAGGGTTCGAATTAGCGATATTTAGCTGGTTAATTTTCGAGGAATAATAAGACTAAAATTATTTAGCTATATTCCCAATTAAATCTTTCTTTTATTTGGATTTTATTAATAGCTTTAGGGTATTTCAAAATTCATATTGGAATTTAATAGGCTTTTATTTTATTCCCGCTAGTTTTATGGTAAAGGAATGCGTTCGTCCTAATAGTATTTTTCCTATTGTATTGGGACTTTATAGTTTCAATTTCGGTGATGTTATTAAAAGCTTAAGGATTATAATATATTTCGATAGCGGTTTGGAAATAGATTTGAATAATAGTATTAAGGTTGGTTTGTATGCGTATACTACATATTATATTAATAATATGCTATAGTAGGCCGAAAATTCTAATTTTAAAGGCCTTTATACGAAGAAATTCTATTATTATTATTATATATAAAGTTCGAAAGGGTAAGGTATTATAGTAGTAGATATTTACTTAAAAATTAACCCTTCCTAAGGCTAGTACTATCTTTAAATATTAGAAATATAGTATTAAATATCGATTATTAGGGGAGATACCCTGATAAAGTAATATAGAATGTAATAGGGTATAAGTAATCCTAATTTAGTATTCGCTTTATTAAATTTAATATTAAACCTTATATTCTTTCGATTATTCAATTTTACTTATATAGAATATACCGGCCTTACTAATTTATTATATAATTTATTATATAATAGTATTTAATTAAGAATACCCAGGCTGAATATTTAATTAAAATTCGAGTATAATTATTCTTATTAAAAACTAAGCGACTTTAATTACTATATTACTATTTTACTAATTATAAACTATCGAATTATAATTTATAGGCCTTTATTATACTAGCCTTTATATTAAATTAGTTTAAAAAGGAATATATTAAAAGGTATAATATAATAAGGCGAAGAATAAGATAGAGTATAACTTTGTTATTATAATTGTTGTAATTATAGTAATTATTGTTAAAAATATAATTATATTATTAGGGCGGAACGTTAACGAGGTTAACCGTTAGAATATAACGAATATTATCGTAGATGCTTATACCCGTTTTAATTAATTATATATATTTATTTTGGTAATATTCTTCGGTTCTGTCGTTAAATTAATTATTAAATTAAGGAAAAGCTCTGTCGCTAGTACTAATAATAACGATAATAATAACGATAACGATAAGACAAATCTGAAAAAAAAAGGGAAAGTATTATAATATTTTAATAATATATTAAAATTAAATATTTACGCTAATATATATTATCCGGCTTTTACGTACGAATACACCCTACTTATAAATTGCGATACGTTAATTAGAGAGAATTTATATAAATAAGTAGAAGAAATCGAATATCTTATTATAACCTCTTTTTTAAAAAAAAATTTAAAATTTTATATTAAAATATCGAACCAGCTATACTAAAGGCACGTATAACCTATATCTATTAAATTTTATTAGTCGCCTCCGTATAGTATAGAATTTGTATATAGATTAGAATATGAAAAACCTATCCCCACTCTTTATGTTGTATCATATTATATTGAGACTTGGTATTTTATAATTTTAATATACTATACGGGTAAATATTTTAAAACCCGTATTTACAAAATGAATTATTCGAATATCGAGAAAGTATTATTAATAAAATTAAACTTTTAAGAAACGTTACGACTAATCCTTTAAAGCGCTTTTGAAGAATCCGACCCCGAATTTATAATAAAAATATTCTAATTTTATAAGGATTGCCCGATTCTATTTGGTAAAGTATTATTACAAATTAATTAGAATAAATTCGATTAGAATTAAACTTTAAAAGAAGAAGCGAAATATAAAATTGAAATAAATTAATTTACTAATGCTACTTACTTACTACTATCTATTATTAATCGGATTCCTTTTAAGGAAATTGAAATATATTATTATATAATTAACGAAGGTCGAAAGCTACCTAAATATACAAATTCTATATTTACTACGCTAATATTTCGAAAATCAATTTAATAAATTTATTACAGTAATTATAGTAAACTACAGGATTATCCCAGTGTATTTTAGAATAATATAATTAAATAATTACGGGAATTTAGGTTTTTTAACTGGTATATACCCCCGCCCTCCCCTATATTAGTATATTATTATAAGTCTGGCTTAGTATAGTCTTAGTAATAAAATCCGAATATAATAGATTGAGGCTGTTTGGTAATAGTATTAGGCATTTAGCGATAAACTACACTTCGACGGTAATATTTGGATTAAATCGATAATCCATAATATAATAATTCAATTATATAATATATAGCTAAATATATATATATACGATTTACTCTACCAGTTGGGAATTTATACGCCGTCGAATTATAAGTAATTAAATATAAAGACGTTTATTATTACTAAATTTATTAGAAATTTAACGTAATTCTATTTAATAGTTTACACTTCGACAGCGCATAAACGCGGTCTCCTCGCTCCAATTCTATCCAATTTTCCCGCCAATTATATAATATAAAATATTTTAACGGTATTATATTAATATTTTCCCGTTTAATTAAAATATAAAAACGTTATCTCGATACTATTAAAAGATACTATCAACACCTCAATTATATTAATAACTATCTACTATAGTATTAAGTCTTTACTATACCTAGACTAATCTATATAGTATTAATCAAACTAGTTTACTAATGCCAGTTTAATATATACTAAAGAGAATATACGCTTTATATTCGGATGCAACGACTATATATAATATAAACGATTAAATATATTTTACTTTGGTTATATTAATTATATTTTCCTATTAAAGAATATTAATAATAATTATATCTTTATTATTCTTATACTAATAGTACGTACTAATTCCCAATACCCTATTTTTAATTTAGAAATATTATAGGAAGAATAGTAAGCTCCCGTAATAATAGGTATCATAACTATTATACCTATCTACTTATATATAATTAAATTTAAAGATAATACAATCGTATAAGTACATTAGGAAGCACATCTCCTCTAAATAAGAAATAGCAAATTAACTTTATCAAGATATTTGGGTTTACTATATTAATCTAATACATATAGCCGAACCGTTATTAGCCAAAATTATCAGAATTCCATATAAATCTCCTTAATTCCATTTATATATTATGAACTTTTCTAATAGCTAACAATTCCCTCTACACGCGCCAGTCCATATTACACTTATATATAATACATATACAAATCTAATAAATTACTATATACCACCCTATTCTACTTTCTATCCCGTTAAGAACTTTATTATTACTCGTTTTTTACCAACTATTTACCCGTATACGACATATCTTCTATTAATAAATCTTTTCCCTCCCCGCGTAGCGGCCCGCGGGTATATTTACTCTCCTCTTAAACTCGTTACATTAATATTTAATACTCTCCCTCTAATTATTTAATTCCGTATATATAAATAAATCTACGTTATCCTTATTATTTTTACATATAAATACGATTAACCGTTTATTTTTATAACGAGTATATACGGCGAATGATATTTTAAAATGCGTAAGAATTATTAATCGATTGATTGAAGGAGGAGGTAGTGTAAATATAGTAATATACGGTAGTAGTATTATAGGATTTTATTATTTTTAGGATTTAGTTATTTAACGCGTAGTACGGGTATGTATAAAGCGCGGAAGTAGCTAAGGGGTAGTAATACGTATATTAGTAGCCCGAATATAGAAGAGGAGTAGGAAAAGGAGTATATGGGTATAGGAAGTGGGTAGTCCGAGTGTAGATAGAGCTAGGGTAGAATAGGGTAGGAATTGGGAATAAAGTGGGGCGGGCGGCGGTAGGCGGCGGGGTGGGAGCCGGGAACGGGGACGCTTATAAAATACTAGATACTAGACCGTATAATTGAAATTTACCGACCCATTACGAATATAGATTAACCGTACTGTAAATCGCGTACTAAATTCGGTTCCAATCCCGTGTAGCGCACCCTAGTACCTGATCCCCTATAATATACCCGCTGTATTTAATAAGACTTTTCAATCTAACAAAACTTCTCATACGACCAACTGATAGAAACCTACCAAGCCTTACTCCCCTGCAAGACTTGTTGCCCCCTACACACCACCGCTTCGGTGCCTTTGTTTCCAATGTTGCCCGCCTCCGGTTCCCTAACACGCCCTAGCACAGCCCTGGCCTACACGCAGTCCAACCTCAAGCTCTAGCAAGATGCCTATTTCATACGGTACACAAATCATCTACGAAACACAAACCTACGAGGCCACGGACTGCCATCCCTTACACATAGATGCTCAAGCGAATCAGGGCGTGTCAACCGCTATCGATGTCGACGGTCCTGTGCCAAGAGCCAAGAAGACCAAGAGTCCCGTCAGCCAGGCTTCCGAGCTTAGAGAGATACCTTGGCGTTAGCCTGCGCGTGGCCCGGCAGCCTTGTACCTCGCTATCTGGCCCCCGCTCCATTTGGTTTTGGCTTAGACTCACTCACCTGCGTCACCACACTTGGCCGCGGGCGCCCCATTTCTTGCATTCTGCATCTGACGAGACTAGAAGGACGCGTACTAACGCCGGACAGTCTGACCTACCAGAACAGCGCTCGTCTTTTCTTTCATTCACAAATGCCTTTGCCAGTTCCGGGCACAACCTACAATTGTCCTCAGCCCCGTCTCATCTCATCACCTCAAAAGGCATCGCGTCGCATATCAAGACTGCAAACCGCCGCGGGGCGATCCCAAGACCGATAAATTCCAAATCAATTCCAACCAGCGTGACGGCTCAGCCATGTTCTGTCCTTGCCGTCCGACTCATATCTGTACGGAGATGTGAGACCCCTGGTCTCTTACTCTAGACAACTAGAATCCAACCCTTATTATTAGGCGTCTCATCCTCTCCAGCCAGCAAGAACCCGGATTGACGCATCACGGATTCGGACCCTTCTTTTCACTGTCGCATCACCTCTACTAGAAAGACATCAACATGGCGGCGTCGACTGTCGCCTCTGCTCTTGGCAAGATGGCCCCACGACGACCACTCTTTTTCCTTGCGCTAGTAATCTCAGTCGTGAATGCGCTTAGTTCTGTGCCCAAGCTTTCGGACTTTGCCATGGACCAATATCTCACCCTACAACTGACCGTACCTTCAGGTTCAGGTGACGCCCCACCGGTCAGACACCCAGTTGTCCCATTGACTGAAGCTGTTGGGATGAACCAGTCCGCCATAGCTCGAGAGGTAGGCCACCATCAAGCCATGTCCAAAATTGCAACACTCACTAATGAACCCCGTTAGTCTATCAAAATCGAGGGAACAATGGTTCCTACTGAAGAAGGCGATTGGCTCGAGTTTATCGACTCCAACAGTATTGCCTATCTCAACTGCGACCACTCTAACTCAACCTCTTTCTTGAACCAGCTCATGGTCAAGGCACCAAAGGCTATTCTGCTGTTTAGCTTGACCGGGGCTGGCTGCAGACGTGACAGCACGGATGATTGGAACTACACCACCATTTTTACCATGACCAACCGAATCGATGCACAAGACACACTTAACCTCACGATGTCAGGCAGTACCGCCACGATCACTGGGGATCATGAGGAAACCGACGATGATGAGGACGAAGAACGAAGCGGACCTGGCTCACCGGTTGCCATGAGCATTCTCTACAGTATTACCGGACTTATTACTCTACTCTTCCTCGTCATTATCGCGACTGGAGCGATCCGAGCCCATCGTTATCCGGAGCGATACGGACCTCGGACCGGCTACGGCGGACGGCCTAGTCAAAGCAGAGCCAAGGGGCTGGCGCGTGCAGTGCTTGAAACCTTGCCTATCGTCAAGTTTGGAGAGAACCCCCCAGCCAAACCCGATCCCGATCTCGAGCTCGAACAGCAACCCTCCAGGTCATCACAGGATCCAGCGCCAGGGGCAAAATCGTCGGCAATTCAAGAGGAGGTACCGTCCTCAGACAAGTCTCAAGGACCCGTGACCGTATCAAGTGTGGACGCTTCCGAACAGGCTTCGTCGGCAACAGTCTATGGAGCTCAAACGGGCATGGCCAATACAGCCGGCGACATTGAGAATACGAGCTCAGACGACATTAATCTGGGCTGTTCTATTTGTACCGAGGATTTCACAGTTGGTGAAGATGTTCGAGTTCTCCCTTGCAACCACAAGTACCACCCGGCTTGCGTCGACCCTTGGTTGGTAAACGTCTCGGGAACTTGCCCCCTATGGTAGGTTTAGTGAACGTCCTCACAATCAAAGTTGACATACTAACCGTCTGCAGTCGTCTCGATCTTCGACCTCACAGCTCAATTGAAAGCACCAACAGTCCTGCCGACAATCATTCAATGTCCTCGCCGACAGCAGGCGAGAGTACCCAGCAGCCCGGCACCAGTGGAAGCGCCAGGCCAGACACCACGTCTAGAGAGCGGAGAAGGTCTTCGCGAATTCTCGACTTGCACAGACTCCGGACTGCCTCTATCGAAGAACGCATCGAAATCTTGAGAAGACACAGGTCTCAGCAGCAGCAGCGGCGGTCCACCACTGGATCTTCATTAACAGGCGACCTAGACAACGGCGAATCCGCAGATCATCCTCACCGAGCAAGACTGACTGAGCGATTCAGAGGCAGATTTAGGGGATCACGGCCTCAAAGTCAGACGCAGTCGCAACCCACAGAGGGAAACATACCCACGTCCACACCGTAAAGCTCAGGCCTCATGGTGTTGGGGTCATATTTTGAATAATGACGTTCTGAACAGGATGTCCAACGCGTTGTCATTTGGGCGAGCGCATCGTAGCAGGTGGCAAGTTATCGATCACCTGTCACAAGATGGCCTTTTTTTTTTTTTTTTCTTTTTTTTTGGGTTTATTATCTTTCGTCGGAAACGTCTGGCACATATGGATCGAATTTTGGATACCACACATAGACGGGTACAAAGTGCGCTGCCTTTTTCCTTTTTCTTATTGGCTTGGTTTATGTTTGGGATAGGACGGAATACCTCAGTGCATTTTTTAAGGCGTTTACGGTTTGGATATGAACGATAAGGACGTTTCGCATGTCTGTTGGGAGACCAGCCAGAAACAAAAGTCATTTGGTGGTTGCGCATTGGGCCTCTTAAGGTCTGCCTGCCTTAACCGGCTCAACAGGACGGGATGGACAGAACGGAAGAGTACGGACCATGGAAGCGGACAGAACAATCAGTTGGATAACTTGAGTTGGTACATAAGAGTAGGTAGTTATAATCATATTTATCGTTTAGCACTACAAAGTTGTATTGGAAAGGCACTGATCCATGCAGACAGATAGGTAGTCGACTAAACCCCTTGCAGAAGACGAAATTCGCATCAGGAGCATTCAGCCTCAGCTCAGCTACCGCTCGAGCGCTGCCTGTGTTATAGCCGCTTCATACAAGTACTGCGATTTCGTCATCCTATCTCACCGGATCTATCCTGCATGCGTTTCGTAATCGAGCGGGCGGTGGCCGATCCATTTCCATCCCATCGCATTTAGTCAGGGCAGCCGGTACCTGATCTCTCCTTCCACCCCTCCTGCCTGTCCCTCTGCCACGGCAGCTGCCTTGTCTTCCATCCCACTTGCCTTGCTTGGGGTACATAAGGTACCTCGTCGCGTCCTCTTTGCAACAACAAAAAAAAAGCGCGGTTGGCGCAGTGGTCAAGCGCATCACTCGACTTGTGGGTTGAAATCCCCGGCGAACCTTGTTCAAAGACCGACTCTGGGGGCAAAAGTTCAAAAGGGTAAAAGTCACTACTGTGTGAAGACCCGTGTTCGAATCCCGGACCGCGCAAGTTAATTTTTTTTCCTCCTGCTTTTTTGCCCTTTTTATTGATGATCTGCTACTATAGGTAGTTTTGGGTTTACAAGAAGGCGAAAGGGAAGATGAAGCGTCTGTTCTATTTTCACCCGCGTATATATATGTATCTCGAATCCACAATTGACGCCTGGCCGCGGAGACAGCACGGAATGATGGATTCCTTGATGCTTAGATTTACTGAAGAAGGGATACCAACTTAATACCGTCTCGATTTCGTCGAACTCTCGCCATCGAGAGAATAAAACACGATGAACGCTTTCCTCCATTAACTCGCCACATCTGTTACACCAAACTACTAGTGGCTTCCTGCTGGCTTCACTCTAAGCTACATACTGCCAACCACAATCCCAATGCAAGTGGTTTCCCTCCACGTCCAGCTCCTGCCTCTTCTTAAGCCGGACGTAGTACCATACGCCGAGACCTCCGGTAGTAGCTGCTGTTGCAACTGCAGAGGAGAGAGCATACGGGGTGTACACTGAAGTGGGATACCCAGCAAGCTTGTTTGTGGTCGCGCCCGTGGTTACACATTCCGAGAATTTGAGGTGGTACGCTTCTGGAACTACCAGGGGGGATTCAGAGACAAGCGGTGGTTCAGCTCCGTAGGTGAGCTGGGCTTGCCAGTGCGTATCGAGAAAGAGACTTTCGGGGTTTGGAGGATTACTCATGGCGGTCCAACAAACTATTCGTCTTCATTCGATTTCCAATGAACGTTTCAATATCAATATTCCTCGAAGGAAGAACGGCTGACATTATGGCCAAGACGTCAGTATATTTTCTTTCTAGTGTATGCTCCAGCGCCAACGAGTGGAGGCGATAAGACTGTGGGCGCCGAAGGTGAGACTCGGGATCTCAAATCGAGATGCAGGCCTAGCAAGGGGAAATCGAGTATGTGAAGGAGGTAGGTAGGTCCTCAGGGGGCCACGCATTCAGCAGCGGCAATCACCTGCATGAACAGGATGGCGAACTTTACGGAGTTACCATTCCCCTAGCTACTTGGCAGCCGCGAGCAACGAACCACCAGGACACTCGCTCATCACTCATCAATTACGAACCTAACCCATATTCCAGCAAAGGAAAATGTCTTTCTCGATGTTCTCCTTTTCGATAACCTACAAAGGATGTGCCAATCATCGACGCCTTTTTGTTTCTCGCTGGGTTCTTCTCGAGTGGCCATCGCCGGTGAGGTGGTACAACAGCAAAATGTGGCTTGGACACTGTCGCGCTCCTTCCCTTCCGGGCGCCCAAGGACCGAAAAGCTGTTAACGGTCAAGAATTTGGAACCCGCAATGCGTCCGTCCTCCAGGTCAGTCTAGTGGTAGCCACGGAAAGAGCCACCCAGGCGAAGGCGAGTGAGTCTTGGAAAGTCTTGAAATGGATCGAGAGGAACTTTTTTACTTTCCCATCCTTGTCTACTGCCGTCCCTGCGCGATCCTCGACCACTCGCACTTCTACTATTCCATCTCACCGATCTCCCCGCCTAGGTGATCTCATCTTCCCCCAGTTCCTTTTCCTCCATCTGACCTTCACAAACCTCTGACACCCCACCTCGCCTCACCTCACCTCAAACTCACCCCGGAGTAATGGTGAATTCCCTGCAGTATAGTGCCATTCCTAGCAGCAACAACCCCACGATTTCCTTTCTTCTTGGTTCGATTCGGCTACGCCTGTGCTCCCGACGACGCGCCTTCATACTCCTGGACTTCTTCCTCGACCTCCAGCTGAGAGCTTGGCGATCTTCCTCTTCGAGCCTTTCTGCAACGAACCTCGTGCACATCAGCCTCGACTCACCTTACTCGGATGCGTTTAGGTGTCCTGCTCTACCTCGACTTACCTTGGTTACCTGACAGATACCTACCCAGCCACACCGAAACTCCGACACTCCTCTAGTTCACTCCTCTTTCTTTTCTTTTTGCGGCTGTGGCCACTATCCTCTTTCTCCTCCTCTCTCTCTCTCCACCAAATCATATTTGGGTACTTTTTTGATCGTACTTTGGATGCTGGATTGCCGTCGGTCAGTTTGGATGGTCCACTTTTTGCGCTTCACAAGGAAGAACATAACCAGTTTGGGCAACGCACACCACGACAGACGTTCACAACCTTCTGCTACTGCCACCATATGCTCGTATTCGTTTGATTGATGGATCGATTGCCGTCACCATGGCCCCGCCGCTTGTCAGCACCCGACGGAACAACATAAAGATGGAAGAGTCGGAGTCAGGCGAGGAGCCCCTCGCCGGCATGGTTATTAGCGTCATCCTTGCCATGATCTCTCTGGTTATCATCTCCAGTTTTCTGAGTGAGTATTGCTTGCTTGTCAACTCTGACTCTGTCTCTGGTTGTGGCGCGAAACTGACACACGATTCTCTCACTCTTTCTCCAAACAGCTCAAAGGTTCCTAGCGGTCAAAGTCTGGAGTAGACTTCCCCCCGTCCAGTGGAGTAGGTCCTGCCCGTCCTTGCATGCAGTTGCTCGACAAGTTGGCATCGCTGTATCTCCTCCTCACAACTGACATGTTCTCACAACAGTGGTTTTCGCCATTTACGCCGATTCCTTTTTGTTCGTGTTTGCTACTGCCATTCTCCAATTTGGCTTCGGCGTTGATACCTCGGCATCCATCTGCGAGTCGGCCATTTTACTGTGTCTGGCTTGCTACGTTACAACAAAGGTATGGTGTCCACGGAGAGCCGGATATGAGAGAAAATTAGCTGACGTTGATTGTAGATTGTTAGTTGTTTCCCGAATACCATGACTCGTGAAATAAGCTAACCCGCCGTCTTGTAGCTCATTTACATGTTTCTGGTAGAGAAAGCGGTTGGTTACATCATTTTCGTGATAACCAGGCATGGCATCTAACATTGGGAACAGTTCATCATCCGATCCGGAAGCAAGAAACTCCGGATACACTCCAAGCTCTACCTCTTCAACACCATCGTGGTGCTCGGTTTGTGGCCGCAAGTGTATAAAGTATATAGTAACAAGACTAACGGTGCTTAGGCGCATACTGCGTCGTAGTGGTCCTCAACTTCGTTTAGTATGTCGTACTTCCCATGCGGACGACCTCACTTTATCACTAACAAGCAACATCGCAGTCGCATCACGAAGATAGAACACAAACAATGCATAATCGGAATGGAGAGATACGCCATGATTCCACTCATTGTATACGACCTGCTCGTCAACGTAAGTTAACCCCACTTTCCCCATCTCTTTCGGTGATCGATGGCCGTATGCTGACGTTTTAGATTTACCTCACGGTTCTGTTCGTGCTGCCGTTACTAGGTAAGAGGTCCTGTTCATGTCGTTCTTTAACCGAAACTGACTTTATCAGGTCTCTACGCCTTTAACAGCTCTCAGCAGACTCGCGGAAACAGAAGACTGAAGCTGGTGGCCATGCGGACCCTTATTGGTTGTATCTGCACACTTACCAGCAGCGTTGTGTAAGACCCATCTTCTCAAGGTTCCTCCCTTTGGCCCCGACTAACGCTTTGACAGCAACCTATCAGTGCTCATGGGTCTAAATGGCGAGCCGGGATGGGTGTGTCTGATGTGTTGTAATAGTGATAGTAAGTCAACCGAGTTCGTATCTTGGTGACATACTAACCCTCACCAGTCCTATTCAGCGCCATCGTCATCCAATGGGTGACTTCACGAGACAGCATCGCTTCCAACAACAACGAGTCTCACACCATGTCGCAACAAAGACACAGCAACCACGGCGAGGATGCCTACGATCTCCGAAAATCACGACAGCAGGCCAACGGGAGAATACTAGAGCAAAAGAACAACTCATCGACAAACCGTGTCAGCATCAACAGTAGCAGCATCTCACCAAGACCCACCCCAAGCACCAAGCCCATAGTAGACGATATAGGGGACATTGCCCTGGACAGCACGGACCCGATGGAGTTGAACGACACCCCGTCGAGCAACAACGCCAACAACCCTTTCAATGAAGACAACTTGAAGCGGTCCGCAACCGACGACTCGGACGAGATACGCATGATAGCACTGAGTCCCAGAAAGAGGGGTATCAGCGACTCGGTATCACCGTTAGTGCCTCACCAGATCTCCCCGACAGAGGTGCGCATCGACGTCGACTACGGCTCCAGTCTCACCCAAGCCAACGAGGCCGAAGGGGTCAAGTTGGGAAACAGCGTCGTGATTGCGACGGGCGGTCGCAGCGACGGAAGGAGGCGCGGAAGAAGTTCGTCGCGGAGATACGAAGATAACAGTGACCCTTAGGCGAGTCGTCACAGCAACAGCCGTAATCGCAGCCGTAGGGATACGGTCATTACCTTGAGTGGACAACAGAGTCGCGGGAGCCGTGCGAGTGGGGCGAGTCGGGCGAGTCGTAGTACGGGGAGCGATCAGAAGTGACGCTTGGACCTTGGAAGCCATCGCTTTGGTTATGTTAGTAGGTTTTGTTTTTGATTAGGAGGAACCACAAGACACGCTTGGTAGGATTGTTGAACGAGCGGACATGGGATACCCAGACGAGAAACTTGTCGATGCGTGCTGGATTTCAAGACTGAAGACAAGAATAGACGATGAGTATGAGGAGGATAGGGACAAGATAAATTACAAATATACCCAAGCCACATTCCAAAATAACCTCGGTGTTGATGAAACGGAGTAGGTAGTGTAGGATGCCATTCAGGGGTAAATAAATAATTCCCATATGTATCAAGGTTTGGCTCCGGGGTTAAGCCCTGTAGGCCACTCCCCTGTTTATGCCCGCTCTCGAGCCGCTGTCAAGGGACGCACAGAAGGCCCGCTCCGGCTCAGATGACACCTGCCAGGGTCGCAGTTACAGCAGGGTTAGCATAGGGCTGTTAGTGCATATGCCAAGCTTACAAATGCACACCAACCTCGAGACGAGACAGGGAGACAGGATGCTCTTTGACGACATGTCAACAATGATGGAAATAACTGAACAAAACCGGAAGCACTGGTGGTGGTGTAGGTACTGGATAGTAAGTTAGGGGGACGCTTACAGAGTTGTCTGGCACGATACCTGGATTCCTTTTCTCTATCGAATGATCTTCATTCTATGCACAGAAGGATGTCCCATCCAGAAGGTACTCTTTGTCCTCCTTTATGCCATTGTGAAATGTCGTTCATTTATATCATCATAGCCCATTGCCTTGATCCTTGTTTCATACATACAAAGCTTGAAAGTGGTTGAAAAAACATGTTGGGGACCCAACATGTATGATTGTGAAAAGACGTCCATGCAGACGGCAACATCGTCAAAAGAAAGATTGCGATGTGTACACGTGATTGCAAGTCGTACGGGTGTGAAAAAGAGAAGAAAGTGTGTGATGCAATTTATGCACAAAGAAGTGGAATGTAAAATGTAAAAGTCCCTTGAAGAAGAATAAGGCAGAGCCAGTTTTTGTCCATCCGACCATCCATATGCTCCTCCTTCTTGTTCTCCATCCATCCTAATGCGCCACTCCTTTGTTCCCAGGATATCTCAAAGACAAGTAAATGAAAGGGTGAAAAAAAGGAAACAAAGCCCATGGTTAAGACCAACATGGCAGAGATGGTGATACCTTGAAGCAAAACTGGCAAGATCTTTTGACATGTAGAACCAAGTCCATAGTTAGATCTTCTCAGAGTGACAGATGGTATAAATGTTTAAGCACCATAGGCAAAGGTCTTCGCGAAGGTGGTCAGCTGCGAGTTGCGCAACATCTGACCCTCCGCAACCATGAAGTAGGTGAACCTCTCCACGAACGAGAAGGTAGAGTTGTTCTCCAAGTGATCAAGGACGTATTCCATAGCCTGGTTCACCTGGTCGTCATCGCCGGCAAAGCCAAGCTCGGTGACCCAGACGGGCTTCTTGAAGCGGTTGTAGGCATCGAGAAGGTGGTTGAGGACGGTGGGTCCGTCGGTTCCATAGCTGTGAAGGGCCAAAAAGTCCACCTTGCACTGTCCATTGCATGCATCGAAGAACTTCTGCATCCAGTTGAGACCCATGTTGGGATCGTCAGAGTTGGTAATGGACGGAGAACTGATGCGAACCTTTCCGGCCCAGGGGTTCATGTACTGGATGTGACCGTCAGCAGCAGCCTGAGGAGACAGGTTTGACTGAGAGCTGAGATCAGGCTCGTTGAAGCTGAGAAATGCCTTGGAGCCGGCGTCAATGGCCTTTTGGGCATTGGCGTTCCAGGACTGGGGGAAACCCTTGTCAGTACCCCAAAGCATAGGGACAAACTCAAGGCCGGTGCCAGAGTCGTCGACCTGACCCCAGTTGTAGACCCACGTGGCCTTGGAGCCACTTCCAAGGAAGCTCTGAAGCAGCTTTCCGTCGTTGTAGGCAAGACCGCGCTGGAGGCGCTGACCAATCGACTTGTTCTCAGTCGACTCTGGAGTGGTGGTGGAGGGGGCCGCAGCAGGGGCGCTGTTCTGTGTGGCAGACGGGCTGGCAGGAGCATTGACAACGGCGACGTTGGGAACAATGGTGTTGATCGACGGCGCAGCAGAACTAGCCTCGGCCGGGGCAGCGACGGCGGTGCTGGAGCTGGACAAACGGGACTTGGTAAGCTTGGTGTTGTTGTCGACGGCAGTCGGAGCAGCGTTGGCGCTCTGGCCAAGAGTGACGGTGACGGTAGTCCAGGCAGTCTGGGTCACCATCTGGGTAACGATGTCCCTCTTGCCAACGTGAAGGTGTTCATGGCCGCGATGGATGCTAGCAGCAAGAGTTTCGCCAGCAAAGGCGGCAGCCGCTAGGGCGATAAGAGACTTTGAGACCATTTTGATGGATATGTTCGGTGTCGAGAGGAGGAATAATGCTGAGTGTCGCAACTTGTCCAGCAGCGCTTAAAGAGGGAGTGATGCTGAGACGGCGTATAACCAGATACGAAGGCCGTTGGCGGGTGAGGCGGGGTGTCTCGTCAAGTAAAGGAATGTACGGGTCAACCGTCGCGGATCCAAGGAGGCAAAAGGAATGCTGCCGATCTGGAGACCGATGAGTTGGCTGGAGGTTGAGGGAGGGCTGACAGTTGCGCGCCGGAACAAGTGATCAACGTCGATCGAAGCTAGCGACCTAACGGATGTGGATAACAAGGTGGTGCTGAGAGAGCGTGGGACTGTTGATGAAGCAGTCAAGGGACAGGAGGGAATGATGATGCCCAAAAGAGAAGCGTGATGGGGAGATCTGGAAGAAAGAAGGATGGACGGGCCGCGAGGAGGAGGGGGGGGGACTAGAACTTATAATTGACTGGGGGTCGGGGTAGGTTGGATGGACAACGAACGGACAATAGGACGGGAACACATCAATGGCCCATTGATGTGTTCGTCATCCAATGGATCCCAAGCGGCTGGAGGAGGGGTGGGCTCCATTGGTACAGTGGGGACTCAAAGGCTTCCAGACCCGGTGAGACGTAACCGCCAGGGGTAAGGTCCCCGGTTGGGGGAACGAACGGCAGGAACGGGCAGGAACAACGACGATGGCACCTGGGACCATATCTTGGCGGCAAGGGCAGGGGACCCGAGTTGCAACCTTCTCACGCTCCCGTTGAGCACACAAGGCAGGCACGCAGCGCGGCAGAGAGGTACACCAAAGTAGGGTCCCACTCGGTAGAAGCAAACAGCCGCCCGCCCACGAATGGGATCTCTCCATCTCGAAACTCGAAACAAATTTGCAAGCAGTCAGATAACAAGCGAGGGTCGAGATCCGGAATCCCGGCGTCGGTCATGGCGACCTGGAAGGAGCACTGCCAGATACTTGGATCCTTCGGTATCCTCTGGCTTCGTGATACTTGTTCACACTGCCCCAAGGCGCGTTTGTCTCTTGAATCTCTGGGCCAAATCCTAATTCTTATATATGCCTTTGATCACGTTCCGTGGGCGTCGTCTTTCAAAACAAAGGGCGGGACGTCAGGCGTGCAGGCCGCAGGCCCGCAGGGCGGCACGAGCTGATGCTTCAATAGGGTGCACTCGCATGTGTCGGGTTCAACATCGGACGACAAAGAAACGAAGCGTGTTTCCCATCATCAGTCGACTACCGAGTCGCTTCAGCTGGCTGGAAACATTAGTCCGATGGACGCGCGGCAGGACCCATCAAGGGGCGCCGCCCTCGATTCTTTTTTCAGCAGACAAAAGCGACGAGGTTGCTGTGGTGTCGTGGCACTCGGAGCCAACCATGGTCAAGCGGGGCCAGGAAAAGATGGATCGACCTCTCAGCTGTCGGCGTATCCCACCATCACGAGGCACGCACCAATGACACTCAGCCCGGTTATGCAGGTACGGAATCAGCGCTGATGTTAGGTTGGTCAGCCATAAAATCAGGGCAGAAATCCACGCCTCTGCAGGAACCAATTCTGGGTCTGGGTGGTACGGCGGGGAGTCGGGTATCGGGCGGCTTGGGCAAGTGATGCCGAGTCACTGTCACCAACACACAAACAACAGGCAGGGAAAGGAATGGGGAATTATTCACCTCATATATATAAATTGTTTGCTGCTGTGCCTTGCTAATATCCCACTTATAATGGGCATGACAGCACACTTCAGATGCCGTGGAAAGGACAAGGCCTGACGGCGACCATCCCGTCTTTTGACTTTTCAGTTGACAGCTTCGCTTCCGCAAAACAACTCGAACGACCGCTCCCCGCACGCGTTTGTAACAACTTCAGTGTGTGGAGAGACTCCAGACACCTGCGACATTTTTAGCCCCCATTTTTACGAAAAGGCCCGTGCCTCCCGTCGGATCCCAGCCCGGAGTCCGGACAATTGGACGGAGGCTGAGAGAATCCAACCAAAAAGAAGACTGTCCTCACTCCCGTCCAAGCCATGCACGGCTTTTGCCTTGGTTTTCTTCCTGCCTGCTTACGATCGGCAACAATATTGAATCTGGGCTTGCTTGTACGTGTAGGTCATCATCAAGACACATTTCCGTTCATCGATTCGTCATTCCCCTCCTTCGTTGCAACTTGACTTTGCCCTGGCCACGTGTATCAACTCCCGGCGCCTTCCCTATCTCGGCATACCCCCGGCAAGTTCTGGACATCGCCGGCGGTGGACCTGAGCTTTCCTGAACTTGCCGGACTACCGCGGACCGAGGCGGTCCCCCAGCCAGGCTGTAAGCGAAATTGCGATCCGCTGCCAGCGATGAAACATCGAGGAACAGCAAGAACCCTTGTGCAAAAGGCTCGGCAATGGAGTCTCGGAGTGGAGAAAAATGCTTGTTTTTTCCACCCCTTGTCTTTTTTTTGGTTCCAAGGCAGAAAGAAAACAAATGTCGAACTTTTGATCAGAAACCTCGCGCGTTCTATCGCAGTGTTGTCTCCTCTGGACCTCTGGTGGTTGTTAGGCCATGGAAGGAAGCCACGGGAAGCTCCAGCGAGGAAAGGTTCTTCAAACACGGCGGCGCTTGCCCATTCTTTCTTGGTTGCCAATCGATAAGCATGTCGGGCAGCCGCTTGCATTTGAAACACCAAAGAAAAATTCAGGTTATCAACCCCGCAGGGCGCTTGTTCTTTCCCAAGTATCAGGATGATGGGCATCCTTGTTTCTGTCCTCTTTCCCGGAGGTCAGATCTGATCTTCAGTTATCGTTCCGCTTCAGAAAGGTGGGCTCGCAAGACCAGACGAAGTGGAACTGTCCGCGTGATCAGCTTCAGATCTTTTAGATGGGATGAACCGGCCAAAACAAACAAATACGATGTTCTGCTAACTGATTTAGTGCTTAAGAATGGCTGTACAAAGATAGATCAGTAACAGCCTAGGATGCTTGGATCTGCAGAGGGGTATCGGTCACCGGGAGAGACTTTCCTCTCAATAAAACAACACTCACATCTCACCTTTCACGTTTGCGTTCAACATTTATTCAATCTCCCCCTCCTCACACAACCTCACAACCAAAGTCAGCCATTGGCGCAGGTCACAAGCCGTAATCTTCTGGTGTTCCAGATTCCCGCACCATGTCCCCGTCTTAACTTGTCCTTGCACACATTACACATCACTCTATATATTGCACCAACCAACTGTAATGTATGACAGCAACCACAAAAACGTTCCCTCTGCTTGTGTTCCTGATCGACGGGTGGAAAATTAAATTTGGTAAATTGGGTTGGGTGTTTGTCAAACCTTCCAAAAGGCGGGGTTGGGTTTGTTGGTTGTTGGTTTCTTCACACTCACTGCCCTTGGAATGCACCCATGAATGGGAACTGGTTTGTTTGTTGAAGATAAGGTCCTCGAGGTCGGTCCAATTTCTTGAGTATTAAAGGGGGGCTTGGCCATACCTTTAATTGTCTTTCTTCATCGTCTTCATCGTCTTCATCTTCGTTTTCTCTTCTCCTCCTATGTAGAACTAGGGTACCTTACCTCTCCCTCTTCCTGTTCCCCAGTTCGTATCTCTCCTAGTCCTACCCTTACGTGCGGGCGAGCAGCAAATCTGCGGCCCGTGATGAGGGGACGACGGGTACCACCACGCAATTACGCAATGGAAAGTTACACCGTGTTTGAGGAACGGTAGGTACATATATTGAGGGGGAATCAGGATCAGGATCAGGATGTGTGGTTGTGTCTGTGCGTGCAGCTTCCCGTTCCTCCTCAACTTCAACTACATAAAAGGTATGTATGAGAAGTCTCTGGCAGTGCCAGTGAATGAGTGTGTTGTAGGGAAAAAAGGGGGAGGGGGGCTTTGAAACAAACATTGAAGTCGTGCAATTTTAGACGAGAAAGTCTTGAACCAAACGCGATTGTGATGATCTCGAATGGATTGTTTGATTACTGCTCGATGCTATGGCACACAGGCACAAAAAGCTATATAGGGTGGTGGATAACAGGTGTCAGACAAAGTTGGGTCGGAAGTCTAACCACTCCCTCAGTCTAACAGCTTTGTCTTCTTATATATCTCGGCCACGTTGTGCATTTCGGGTGACACGATGAACTAGGCAGACATCTTATCTCCTTCACTTTCACCCTAGAGAAGCCACTCTTATAGCAGAGCATCCAGTCCTTGCCACGGTAGCCCACTGTCGAACAAGTACAAAGTAAGGTTTCTGTGGAACTACTTTGTATGGCGCTTGAGTCGATATGTGAAGTTCATGTTCTGCTACTTGAGGTAACGACGGTGCTCATGTTCCCTTCCATCGCCATACCAAGGACGAATCAAATCTGCCACGAAACCCCTCGTGCCAAAGTCCATATCTAATACGCGTAACTGATATCCAAAGGTTGAAATAGTACACTGTCGAAGAGCCTTGTCAGATCTAGGTATGAGTGTCTCTTGATAACCGACCGAGTTCCCGTCACCGCCAACACCAGTACGACATACCCATCGCAATGTTTAGATCGCCCTTATCTTTTCTTCATATCTTCTTTACTTAATGGGGGAAAGATAACAATATTTTGAAACAAAAGATCTTCAAACAAGTCATTAGTCCCTTGAAGCTGTTATCATATCATGCTTCCGTCTTTCCTTTCCTTCCTTCCCTTCCTCCTCCAGTCAGCCCTTCTTCCCAGTCCACCACTGTTTATCCCAGACTCCATCTGAAGTGTATATGTGATTTACATGTATAGAGCAAGTGCAAGTGTGAGTGAGCAAGTCGGGAGCATGCTACCAGTCCATACAGGGAGAAGGGTATTGCCATAACGAATGCTGTACAAAAATCTATCAACCTTAAAGACGGAAAAGGTCCCCGGCGACATGAAAAGAAATAAAAGCAAAAGGACGCCAAATACTTCCGCTCGATGTTTAATGAACCCCCTTTCATACCCCCACTGGCTCCTGCAATAGCTGAAGTGGCTGTGGCTGTCCGATCACTGTCTGGGGTGCCTGATTCTCCAGCGGCTGTGTACTCCCAAATAGGTACTCCAGAGCCATCTGCAAAAAGTGCCAGATAGAGTGGTGCTCGTTGAAGACCGTTGCGAAAAGCGTGACGAGGAGAAGAGGGATCCAGATGAGATAGAGGTTCCTATCCCTACTCAGCTCCTTCTTCTTCACGGAATGCGCCCTGCGGAGGTTCTCCTGCTGCTCCTTGGTGATGGCATTCTTGCGACCGATTTCAAGCATGACGGGTAGCTCTGGCGACGCTTCTACTTCGACCTCCTCATCAATCTCCGTCTCCTCGTCGATTTCCACTGCGAGTGTCGTGGCTCCCGCCGCCTCTATCGTCATGCTGCTGCTACCGGCTTGATCAAACATAGCCGCACACTTCTCGTCTGCTGCAGCCTCGGCCGCAGCCATCGCAATTGACGCCTGCTTTTCATCTGGGAACCCGCTCTGACCCTTGCCACAGCTCTCATCATAGGAGGGCGGAGGAACAGAGTTATTGTTATTGCTCCTGTTGAACCAGCCTGCAGATTCCTTCGAGACAGGCGGCGGGGGCGTTGTTTGCGTGGCTTTTGGTTCTGGCCTTGGTCCGGTAATTCCTGGGACGACAGTGGCCGCAAGACGTTGGGCTGTCTGGTAACCAGGCAACGCTGGCATGTAATGTACTACTGGAGGTAGCATGAACGGTAGCTGGGGGAAGTTCTGGAAGTGAAGCATTGCTGTCTGTTGCAACTGCTGTATTTGAGCCATGATAGCGTTAACAGCAGCAGCAGGACCAAGACCATCAACAAGGGGTCGTTGCCGCTCAGAAACATTCTCATCGGCTGCTGGTGGCGATGCGATGCTGTTACGGCGCATTTCGAGAACGGGTTCATCGTCACCATCAGTCGACTCGCTGTCCTCCGAAGAATCCTCGACATCTGAGGTGAACTCCGAAGAATCTTCCGGCTCTGTAGACTCGCTGACCGGCCTCTCGAGGGCCAAGGACGACATGGCTGCCGTCGTCTGCTGGAGTGACGTGAAGCTGCTGGTACTGGTAGCCCGGCTAGGTAGTGATCCAAGGCTGAGGGACCTGCTGTGTAGTCGGCTAGTGGCAAGACGCTGGGCAACCTCTGTCGTCTTGGCCACGTCCGCGGCCGTGAAACCGGATAAGGTCCGGAGCGTGTGGTCAGCACCATGAGCAATCAAAAGCCGTACAATCTCAGCATGGCCATTAAGAGAAGCCATGTGGAGAGGGGTATAACCGCCATTGTCCCGGCTATCAGGGTTCGCGCCCCTAGCCAAGAGGCCTGCAGTGAACCGGCGGAGACCAAGAGAGCAGGCCAGATGTAGCATGGTCTTTCCGGTGGCACTGTTAGGAAGATTCCATTTTGGCTTGCTGTTCGGAGTGTCGTCCAAATCAATCGCCTCAATAACGTTGAGAAGGTAGTTCTCGAAGTGTCCGTGGTTATAGGTAGGAGCACCGGAGGCAGAAGAGCCAGAACTCTCGTTGTTGAAGTTTTGAATGAGGTCGTTCGCGAAGGAGTTGACATCTTTGCCCATTTTCTGGGCCAAGCAGGCAAGCGCAGACTTGGCCAGTTCGTCGGACCTCGTATCGATATATTCGAAGTACACCGGTTGGCCGCGTACCTGGTGATTCTTGAAGGTAACCTGGACCTTGCCAGGTGTGTCGCTCGGGGGTACCAGACACACCAAAGATTCTGCTCCCCAGTACGTCGTCGTCGTGGCCTGCCGCCCGCCAAACATAACTACAATGCCCTGGGAAAAGCCGCCACCTAGCACTGTAACTTCAAATCCGCCATCCACCGATCCTTGATGCGGGATTACCTTGAACAGTTTGACCGGAACGGGAGCCTCCGCAGAAGGCATTGGATTAGCAACCGGTGCGGGAGCTGGTGCCGGCGCCGTCGCGAATGGGCTGCCCACTGCTGACCGCATAAGTGGGCTCAGCAAATTGACGCCATTGGTGTTTTGCCAATGACTTGGGCTCTGAGCGCGACTTGGGTTTCCAGATGTGGGATTGGCGAAGAAGTTGAGACCTTGGTTGCCGGGCAAGGTGAACATTGCTTGATCGTTATTATCGGTTGAAGGCGGCGAGCCGCCAGTATACGACATCGTTGCTGCGCCAGTAGCAAGGGGTGGTGGGTTAAACTGCTGTTGGCTCGCGTCCGAAGGCCGGGAAAAGTGCCTCTGAACTGGCGGGACAAAGGCTGACGAGGCTGATGAGGCTGGTTTAGCCACCGCCGCCGCGTTGGAAACTTGTTGTGGGGGCATTGGGGCGATCGCTTCAACCGGTGTCATGGTAAGATTGCCAACTCTTCTCTTTTTGCTCGAAGTTGTGATGGGCCTGATCGGTGATGGGGGCTGAGAGATCTCTTGGTTAGGCGTAGTAACGGCAACCGGAGGTACAGCAGTGGGCTGCTTGCGCTTCAGTGGTTGAATTTCGTGAGAAGGAGGAGGAGGGGTGGGCCGTCCGTTCGAAGCAGGAGGGTTAACAGTGCCATTCTGCGGTTGGTCCGGAATAAACTCGTCGTCCACTTGCGGAGAGTCTCGCGTCTTGTGATCATCGGTAATGACGATCGGGGAAGAAAGCTGTTGGGCAATGTAGGTGCCCTCGTGGTCGACGATAGTGAAAATGACCTGGAAACCTTTCTTCTTGTCGTTGTGGTGCCGGCCATAACACGCTATTCTGATGTAGAATTCCACGTGGTAGGCGTTCACTTCTTCAGGCTTTGGCTCATGCCACTCCTGAATCTCGGCAGCGTTGAACACAATGATCCTGTCCGATTCGAAGGATCGCCAATATTCATCTTCCTCCACATTTTTTACCTTCTTGCGTCCAGCTCGCTTCGACTCACGCCTGATACACTTTTGACAGATTCGAATCTCGCCACCATCGTGGCCCGGCAGCTCATCGTCGGTATCCGGCTTTGGTTCCCCCTTGACTTGACGTTGCGCACCTAAGCGGGCTCGCATTAGAGCCTTCTTCTTCAGATCGGGGTTCTCCATTGCGCTCGTGCAAACAACGACGGCGTGCAACTCCAGTCTCTCCGGCGATGGCGGTGGAAGAGGTCGAGCCATTTGCTTGACCTTGCTGATGTACTGCGTTGGAAGATGAAGCTTCTTGACGCCGTGAGGAAGAGGAAAGAGAGCGAGTCTGTACTTGGCTTGTGTCTCAACTCTCATTTTGGGGATCTCGACTTCTCCGTTGGCGTTTCCAGATCCGTCTTTCTTCCGCATCCGGTCCATCAATAAAACGTCCAGGTGATACGGAGGACCGCCAAAGCCGCTAGGCATCTGGGGAATATTCATGGGCATCCCGTGCGGCATGAAGGAAATGCCACGACCATCAGGCATATGTGGCATACTATAGGTAAATGCCGCCGGCCAGTGCGAGGGCGGTACAATGAACTGCGTTGGCAAGCCATGCATCTGTAGGTTGGCAACTGGCCCCGGGATCACTTGCGACATGTGTTGGGCAGTCGCCATGTTTATCCCCGAAGCTTGTTCTTGTGGACCATCGGTTACCATAGCATCGGGCTGTATCATGGAGTAATGCTGCAAAAGCAATTAGAAATTTCTGGACAACAAGTCAAAGCATAGAATTACTCACCCTCTGAGCTTGTTCAGGCGCTACGTATGGCATCAAAGGCTGTGGATTGCGTGGGTTTTGTGGTGATAATGCATCTCGCATTGAAGCAACTGGGCTGGGACTGTTGTCGTACGGACTGGCCATGAATTCGTTGGTGTGTGCTGGTGTGACCTCGGTCGGCTTAATATCGGAAGGGTCAATAGTGAGACTGTCCATCGATGTCGATGACGAAGATAGCGAGTTTCTTGATGTGGCGGGTGCGGACTCCGGGCTCATCTGAACATCTGGCGAAGCGAACTGCATCTGCGGTGATCGGTAGCCGTCTTGATAATTCTCGTCTAGTTGCTGATCGAGATCGAACGGGGTGTTCTCGGCCGTAAAGTGTGAGGCTTCCGTGAACTGTGATGCGCCGTAAAGACTGGCACCGGGACTCATGTCGTCCGAGTCGAAGATGCATGCCTGGTTCATGTTGAAGTCGGCACCAGCAAGGGCGCCATCGGGAGCTTCTTGGTTCGACCAGGGCTGATATCCATCGCAGTTTAGGAATTCTGTAAAGTCGCTTTCCCCCGACCTGTTGTTATTAAAGCTTGGCATGGCTCTCGATTGATGTGATGAGCGGAAGTTGTCGATAATGTGCTATAATGGAACAGCTTGCGGAAGCCAACCGGCGTGGCTGTTCCCGGCACCCGTCGTGATTCGGCCTTGAACCAGATGAAATTTCTCCGCGTCGGTCGAAGATGGGATGACTTGTTAACACGTGGTGTTGATGTTACTGGCGCTTGTTTTCCTAGTCGTGGCGGGTCTCGTGGCAGCCCGTTGCCATCTGATTTCGTGCGGCGCAGGGCAGAATCGCGGTCGTGGGTCGCGGGAGTGCAACAAGTAAATGTGTCCCCCGACGAGATGACGATCGCGGCGAGTATATAAAGGAGAAATCGAAGACTTGTATGGGCGTTCGAGTTTCAGAAAATGATGGGCTGGCGCAAGTAGCGATGTGTTTCGCGGACAGCAAATCGAGGTCGAAAGGCGGTAAGCGAAAATGAGAAGCGGGCGGCCAATTGACGGTGCAGATGTCGCAAGCAGCGAGCGAAGCGGGAAGAGCAAGCTGGAAGAAGATGTGGACGGCAAAGGAGCGCAATCGGCGACGGGACGAGCGACAAAAAAGGGACGACGGATTATTCGGTAATCGGGACTCGTTTGTTGGGACGAGAGATATTTGAGGTAACGCGAGATGCAAGGGGCGCGCAATTGCCGGCTGCTCTGTTCGGTTTAGATGGCTGATGAAGAGGTGGGTGTCGGGTGGTAGAGGCAGTTTTTGGTGTTTCCAGTTTCTGGTGGGAGCGGGAGAGAGGCAAATGCTGTTTGGGGGATTCTACCTCTAACTAACCAGTCTGGTTGCGAATGGATTTGGAGAAGGGCATGGACCGTGACTGGCCTACAATGAGTGGTTGAAGACAACCGACTGACGGGCTCGGGTCGGGATCACATCCAATGATGAGTTCCGTTGAGAGAAGAGGGGACGAACTCGAAAGTGGAAGTGCCAAAATGGTGGGCTAGAGCGGAGAGGTCGACGAAGCCCGATGAACTGCGCAACGAAACAAAAGCGAAAAAGAGTGGAGTTCCAGGGGGCGCTCTATCAGAGGAGCAGAGCAAAAAGTGAAAGGGCTGACGACTGAGCTGTTGTGCAGTGGATAATGTTTGTGGGTAGCTCCTGGTAGCGCCGCACTAACTAGATTTCACCAAAAGATCGCTCATAACTGTTAGCAAAGAGGCCAACTGTGCACGTATTATAATACGCAGACATATTGAACCCTTCTTACATAGGCACTTCATCACATTAGTCTGCACATCCTGCCTTATCTTTGGCGTCTATGTACATGTAGTACTAGGTTGTACTGCGTCCATATTGCACGGCACTTTATCTCCTCCTTTTTCTCCCAGTCTTTCCATCTGGAAGAGATGACAAAACGCAGTCCAAGCTGTGAAGTCGTTAGCCGGTGCAACACAAGAACTCTTGTCCCTGCTCGGTGCACGGACCAAATAGGCTTAGAGCCATGTCAGCGCCAAGCGATTTGGGTCCATCGGTTTCCCCACCGAGTCAGCAGCGTGCATCTCTTCAAAAACATCTTGGGGAATGACGACGACAGTGATATTGACATCAACAGATATTCGCATAATCAAGCCGTACTCTCTTACCCGCTCTTCAGACTCATTCCCTATCTCTCACGCCCTTAAAATTGTGCACATATAATGAGGGCAGATTGAAAAAGTTGAATCACCCTGCTTGGCTGGAGCAGTGTCGATGGATAACTCTGCAGATGTGGCCCGTGCTCTGCATCTTACCTCTCCTCACCAAGTCCACAAGAGGAGGCTCACCTCCAGACCTTACAGGTCGAGAAAGAGTCGTCGTCTCCTTTCATGGTGGAGACAATATTGGCTGTTGGGCAGCGAGTCTGCGAGTTACAAAACAGCTCAAGCATCTCATCACCATCCTGTCGGATTCGGAAGGATGATTCTGCGCCGGCCGGAAATCTTTCTCCAGCTCGACTGGTCCGCCAAGCTACAAGAGAGTGAAAAGAGAAAGAGGAGGGAACAATAGATCTCACGAAAATCTCGGGGCTAACGAGATACTCAACGTCTTGAGTCACAGCGTGGATGGGGTTGCTGAGCGTGCCTTTCTCATGGGCATGGCGCCGTCTCCTCACCGGCTGCGAACCTGCGTCCAACGACAACTGCAGCAGTACCTAACCACGCCGACCACGCTGATCCGTCACATTTTCCCTTCTCCTCCCACGCCGTCGAAGATGTTATACAGTAAGACAAGATGCCGTTATACCCATTTCTGCCTACGCTCGATAATCTTGCATTTCCTATCTTAGATCTTCTCGCATCTAGAACCACCGTTCCGGAATTCGGAAAGCCCAGAACCAGCGGAAACGATTATTCAGTACACTATCAACGAAGTGATACGCAGTGAAAAAAATGCAAGTCAGAATGCAACATCATCATCCATCACAACCTCCAGGCTCTAGGGGACCACCACCAGAGAGAGAGGGGAAAATAATCTAGGGACCAACACCCCCCAACCTAATGCCGCTAGTTTCCTCCGCGGGGCACCGGACGCTAAAAAAAATGACACCACCACACTAGACACTAGGGCTAGCCGAATGATCGGCTACTGTACGTAAAACACAATCCGGACCGTCTGCGGAGTTCGGAACTGAGCGAAGATGGCCCGGCCCATCGGAACCGGCCCGGTAAGTGGAGTGGGACGGATCGGATGCTGTGCGGATGCTGTGCGGATGCGCCGAGCGGTTGACGGAGGCCGCGGGGTTTGGACACGTAAAGGCAGCCGCGGGGACCGAACGGGGGTTGTGAGTTTGTGACCGGGAATCGTTTGGTGAAAGTACACAACACGATTGGTAGGAAAGCTTGATAGTGAAGTTTACTAGGCACGAGTTCGGATCGAGGAGCTACCAAGGTCGAAAGAGTACTCTGGCATCTGCGTTTATTTCTACGTTTATCTGCTAAAGTTCTTTTCTATTCTCATGGTATTGACCATCGACTAAAACCGATGGTCACCAAAAGTCTCCCCATCTCAACATACAATCCACCCATCTACTTCCTTTTACATCCCTCAAAACAAGACATTCTATCTCCTAAACATCCAAAAGCTTGTCGTCAGATCCGAAACCCGACCCGCCTCCATCCCTACCCCATTCAACCTCCCCTTCAACCTCTCCCCTTCAAACTCTCCCCATCAAGCTCCAGTCTCCTCTCCAACCCCCCTTAGTTAACACCATGTCTTCCGACACACCGACGACATGATCCGACCAGCCCAGCATGCCTAGTGTTTGATACTAGCAGTGTTTTCACCAACAAGCGTCGGCGCGCTCCCAACACCCTGGCTGTTATCGTCCGGGAACCGAATAGACCGCCCCGGCGCTCGGCTGTGAGACTTTGAAGCCGCTGCCTCGCGAGCCGCCGGTGTGGCCGAGACACCTCTTCCACGCCTGCCGTCATCAAGAGTCGTATTGCTAGAGTTGGCAGAAGTAGTATCAGGCCGGGACTGAGATTGAGATGGCCCTTCAACGTCACCCACAGCCGCAACACCTTGTGCCTCTGATTCAACAGCACCGGTACCAGAGGCAGGAGGATTGCGAATGATGGTTCCACCAGTTCTGTAGAAGGGACGCGTCAACGGGATCCCTTGCTGACTGTCTTCGGCGGCTTCACCATGTCTCTCTGCATCGTGCCCGTGCTCGTCATGGGTTCGCCTCTCAGCAGGCCTTACCCACCCAGGTCTCATGCCAGTGATGAAGGAGTTGACCCTGTCGCCAATGTTGAACGATGGCAACGGTCCGCCGCTAGAGCGTCTGGAGTCCGGGAGAATAACCGAGCGCGAAGGCGACGCGGCACCGCTCTTGAGACCCTTGGATAGCGTGCGAGGGAGATGGACGCCGAGTTTACCTACAGGGATGCTTAGGCCGTGAACGACGACGCTGCAGATGGCCATGAACCAGACCACCACCGTGACCGTCTCCGCCAAATCTTTGACGTCCTCGCGCGGCTTCCCGTCGGGGCCGTCCATACCTCTCAAGAACTCGAGCGTGATGTACAGGTAAAAGATGGCCGAGACGCCCACGGGCCCGAAAAAGCCCACGAAGATGGCCTGCTTAGCGCCCTCGATCTGGGGGATCACCTTGCGGCCCCAGGGGATCTTGTGCGCGATGAACACCCACGGCAAGCGTCTTAGCAAGAGGACCAGGATCCCGAGCACGATGAGCCGGTAGATCTGCACGCCCACGCCGTTGCGCAGAAACATCTCCCAGGGGCACACGGCGCCGTACCACATGAAGATGGTGACGTTGAGCAGCATGTCGATAGTCGGCTGCAGCGAGTCGTCGAGCGTCTCCAGCCGGAACCAGTCGTCCCATGTGAACACGTTTCCCGCGATGAAGCACGCGAGCACGTCGTCGCTGCCGATCATGCCGCACGTGCCCGTGATGAAGAGCGCCAGCGAGATGGCGAAGACGAGGAAGCTCTCGCGGTCGACGAACTTGCGCTCCTCGGCCCAGTGGAGCAGTTCCTTGGCAATCCAGCCGACCGCGGCGCCGTACACGATGGACAGGATGATGGTGTAGACCCACGTCTCGCAGAACCAGAGCGCCATGGCCCTGCCGGCGCCCGCGCCGTCGCCGGGGTAGTCGTGTCCCATGTACTTGATCAGGTACAGGGCAAAAAAGAGGAAGGGGTAGCCGAGTCCGTCGTTGGCGCCCGACTCGGCGACGATAATCCGCTGCAGCTCCTTGGGTACATTGTGATCGGCGAACCGGCCCTTGACGATGACGTTGGAGAGAACCGGGTCCGTGGGTGTCACGCACGAGCCGATAACCAGTGCCTTCAGGAAACCCATGCCGTTGGGACCGAAGCTGGGTATGAGAGCCCAGACGAGCAGGCTGGTTGCGATCCACATCATGAACATGATAGGACCAAGAAGCATGGAGAGTGGGCGCCATTGTTGATGCAGGTATCTGCTAGGAAGTTGGACGCCGGCGAGGACAAGCTGTACGCCTAGGACAAGACGGGAGAAAGCGAGGGTGATTTCCTGCAAGGCGATGGGGTCATAGTCGGCGTAGGCGAGAGGACGGATGAAGTTGGCGGCGCGCGGGGAGAAAGCAACGCCTACCAATAGGGAGATGACTACAATTCGAGTAAGAATGTTAGTGAAAATGGTCGGGTGTTTGGACGTTGAAATCTGTAAATGAACTTACAGGCTTCAGACATGTAGTAGCTCTCCTTGCAGAGGTATGAGACCAGCCCGAAGAGAGAGATCCATCCTCCCAGGACGCTCAACACAATGTTGAAGTTAGTGATAGCTAAGGCTGGCATTTTGAAATCGGTCGTCCAAGACAGCTGAGAGTTCCGAGACTCTTGTCTCACCAAAGTCAAGTTCAAGCCAAGACGATGATCGTAAATCGTAAAGCTTGTTTTGATATCTAGATGGAGTCCTGTGTGGACCAGATATTCTTGTCGAGTAAGTTCTACAACGATGTGTAGATAGTGTTTGTACGTCTAGACTTTAGACGTCAACCGGGCTGGATATTCGCACGGCAGTGTGAAGCATATGTTATTGAGCCATCGAGAGGAAGACGAGTTGAGTGAGGAAGGCAGTCTCGACCAAGTAGATCATGGGAACGGGCCTTGTTTGCCAGTTTGTGGACAAAAGTGTCACTCCACAAAGCCGACTATCCAGCTATTTCAGATGGATGTGTTCTTGGCTTCTTCGCAGTACGATCGGTGTCGTCGGCGGTGAGGTCCGTGATACGGTTGGAGAAGACTCCTGAAGAAGATGCACTCAGCAAAAAGAGATGTGAAGATTGATGGACTGAAGTAACAGGTAGTATCTTATTGAGATCCCTTTGCAGACAATCGCTTCGAACTGTCAGCTGTGGCCTTTCCTATGATGAGGGGAAGAAAACGGAGGAGGTGAAAGTTGAGGAAGCACAAAGATATTTAACAGGATCCGGTGAGACCCGTGAGGCTAGGTCACTAGCGGAGTAGCGGCACCGAGTCCCGTCGCTAGTGCTAGCCCGGAGCCGGGACGGGCCCTGCTTCTGATTCGGCCGTCAGTCAGTGGGACGATCGGCAGAGCCTCGTCTTGCAGTTGGTGGAAAGCACTGGGATAGCGTAGGTACGCGATCTGATTGAAAAGAAACAATGAGGTCACAACTCGAGGTCCCTGGATTTCCAAAGTTTTGTGGTTTCCGGCGCGCTGGTTCCTCGACTCTGATGACGCTTCGGCCCAATTCGCAACATTGACATGCACCACATGTTTGGAGAAATGCACTTCGAGTCAGGACCAGGGGAATGTGGAGATATCGGATATAAGAATAGCCAAACATCCTGTTACAAACGCAAACCAGACATATGTCTATCCTGAGGAAACATTCAAAGGCAGGAAATGCACCAGCTCAGCACACTCTGAAAGAATATGAGTTTATTCTCACCTCATTAGCAGTAATGACGCCGAGCTAACTCTTTCAGTTGTCTAAGATAAAACCATCCTTGCAATATTCCAGCAGCAAATATCTCTACCTGATTAGACCAGAACGGCCAGTCCAGTAATTCTGTTCTTTCGCAACGCCTGCTTGCGGGCTCTCGCTACCATGCAACTGATGCTCAACCTAAAAGGACGATGGGGGGATGAAACCTTTGCTAAACGCCGTAACCTTTTGCTCCCCGTTTTCCGACCCTTTTCTTTGCTCAAAAATGCTTGTTCAATGATGTCAAACCCGACAGAGAGGACAGAGAGGACTACCTAATTCCTCTGCCTTCTGTTTCCGCAAACCCAAAAAATGTGCATACCAAAGCGTACCCCGTGAGATTATAACAGTTTCCTATAATGCTTGCCACCCACTCCACCTCCTTCGTTTACAACACCATCAGGCATGGATCATCTGGTCGACCGGCAGCGGCTTTAGACAGCCATTGGACTCCCATTCCCAGGCCACCAAGCTCCAGTTGAGTTCTCGGCGCCAAAACAGCCCAAGGCCACGACCACCATCCGCGCCATTAAGCGATGGGTGATCGCTGCCACGGTTCTCAGCGCAGAGCCCGCCCGTTAACGGCATACGATGACGAAAGACGACTTTGCCCATGCGCGAGTGAAGGATGGCCATGGAGCACATTACGCAAGGCTCATGCGTAAGGTACATCTCGAGCCCGTGGCAGAGGTACCCATCAGGAGACGGATGGTCAATCTCGAAGACCTTTTGCTCGTCGTCAAGAAGAGGCTTGTCTTGGAAGGCCTCAAACTCGAGAATTGGGGTTTGGAACGTGTCGGTCCTCTTGTTCTCCGAACGCACCAGCTTCTGGGCAACCATGCTGATGGCACGAAGGACAGCATGCGCCATAGGGTTCCCAGTACATCCCGTCTTCCCCTGGCAGCGCCAGCGAGCGTCAGCAGCAAGGGCCACAAGGGTGACTTTGTTGCCTTCCTCGCGCTGGACGATACAAGCTCCCACGGGTTCTCCGTGACCAGCGGCCTGGGTCTGCTCGGCCACCTGGTGGGCCAGTGTCATCCATATCGCAGCATCGTCTGTAATCTCTTCTGTGCTTCGGGATACCATGGCGGGGTGCGGTCCAAGAGGGTTATTCTTGCGGTAAAGAGTGGGCCAGAAGTGTTGGGACCACATGGCGGCTTGAATCTGCGACGTGGGAGCGACCATGGGAACAGGGACACTGCGGATGAAGATGTCTTCTTCCAGTCCCTCGATCGTCTTGAGAGCCTGGACCAGCTCGTCACGCGACAGCTGGGACTCGGGACCGAGGATGATGTAGATCCAGTTCGATTTGCCCGTGTGGATCTGTCGGCTCTGGGGTGTTTCGTTCATGAATTGGGTCTTGAGGTGGGCGGGTAGGTCGCCTGGCTTGGCGCATCTGCGTAGATGTGGAACGCCCTTAACGATTTCCTCAGGTAGCATGTCGCGCAAGAGGCTTGCAATAAACGTCAGCTTGTGTGACCCGGGGCGGTATTAGGGGCTTGGGAGACTGCAGCAGGGGACATACCTGATAGTAGGGTTCGCCGACTTGACGGGAGTTCGGGTGATCAGTACCCGGCCCGTAACATGGTCGTCTCTTAGTTCAAGAGTTGTCTTGAGGGGAATAAGGACTCCATGGTCGACTTCCTCGCGTACGAGGCTCTGGACAATGGGATCCTGTGCAGCAAGGACTGCTCCCATGGACTTGTCCTCGTGAGGCATCTTTGCAAAAGTGTGTAGAGCTCTTTGACCGGCGAGCTCTGATATCTGGAGAATGTCGGCTGGATAGAGAACAGAAAGTGTACAGAGTTCGGAGTCGTTAACCGCTGTACTGGAGGTGTAGAGATCGTTCAGGGTCGGAGCGTAGAGGTATGGTGGCCGCGGGGTCGCAAGACAGCCTGGTACTCGGGATTAGGCTGAAGAGAGTGTCGAGCAAAACTGGCCAAGTTGAGACTTGAAGAGAGCTTGATCGAGGGCAAATGAGCGAGACTGGACCGATTGAGGGGGAAGGAAGGGAACCATAGTGGTGAGAGTGGCTAGTACCTGTCCAGCAAGACCAAAGGAGGGTCCGGAGACGGGAAAGAACAGACAATGTTTTCCCGTCGTCGTCCAAGCTGAAGAAAGCAAACTGCCAGGGCAATGTTGTAAAGCACTGAGATGCGCTTCCAGCTTGCCGTCGCTTGTTGCCCGTTTGCGTGCGCGTTGCCCGTGGCCGGGTAGTCGTGTCGCCGTCTGGGTCGGGACCGGACTCATCCATTGACAAAAAAATAATGCCCCACTTAAGCGGGCAGCGGACAGCCCACCACAGCGACTCCCCGAACATTGAAGGTCAGGGTCAGGGCCACCCCGCGTGACGGGAGGCCGGTGCCCGCAAACACGGGCTGATTGATTTTCGTCCGCATTCCACTTCCACCTGCACTGGCGCAGACCGGGACCAGGGTTCCCGCCAGAACAACGGCAGCCAGCCAGCGATTGCTTCTTCGGCAGGCACCGAGAGGGTCTTTTGTTCATTGCTGTCATTGGTCAAAATTGTGGTTTTGAAATTTGAACTGACCTTGAAGCCGGCCCCGCTATCTTGGGGTCGTCAATCTGCATGCTGCGGGGTCAACAAGCCTGAGTAGTGTAGCAGAGCCGCTACATATGTACTTCATCAAAGCATTCTTTGGGGGGATTATGCGACAGAGTGTGAAGACGTCAGAAACGCCTGCAGGAGCGGAGTCCATTCATGGTAAACGACGCCGTAATGCACATGGTGAATATCCTACAAAGAGACCTAGTCTTGAAGTGTCTGGCTGGTCTGGACAAATTGGAAGCCGACGATGAAGCCCGTGCTACTTTGGTGAGATTGAGATGGTTGCCTTACAAATCGAGAAATGTGAGAACCTTCATGGTTGCTGCCACTTAATCGACATGATAAGATGGGAGTTACGCATGGAATTTTGCTCTCTCGCTACCTCTATGAAAGCTTACGATATTTCATTATCAGAGAGATATCGACCAACACCCACTTCATCTTCTCTTTCCCTTGGATGTCAAAACATCTGAACCTGGCATCACTCTGGTCGATCCTCGCCCGTCCACTTACACCCACTCGCACATGCGTGGCTTCAACTCTTCAGGTCCCCAATAGATCTCTTCATCTTACCATTAAAGGAAGCCGTCTTGGCGAGTCAAATAATCATCATTTTGGCAACTTGGGGCGCTGCCAAGCGGCTTCAATCTAAGATCTCGTCTCCGGCAATTACACAGGCGGTGCCGCCCGTTGTTCTTCCCGTCGATCATTCTCAAGCAGAGCGAATGCTCAAGATCAACTGAGATGAAGCCAAGCTAGCCAAGCTTCTTACCCTGTGCGGATGCGGTAGCATCACCACCCTCACAACCGGCACTAGACTTGGTGGCGCCTCGTCATCCAATGTCTAAACTGAACACTCCGCTGTCGTGCAGCACGATGGCGCTGGTCTGTGGGGGTCCATCTTACTTGGATGCCACCGATCATGGCCGCCTGACACTACACTATTCCCGTCCATCTTGGACCTGTCCTTGATCCTCACCTGCCTCCAAGATATCTGACGCCCAAGATGACAGGCCAAGCACCAGAGCACGACGTCGGCAACAGCGGACAACCTGCAAGTGAAATCCAGCTGCAAGATGCAGATTGAAGTAGAATTTCCCGGACACTCGGCCATCTAGCAGGCGGCATTCGCGACCACAACGGGTTCGATTTCCACTTTGGCGCATTTTCCATGACGGGCAACATGGTAACTTATTTCACTTTGCATCATTCACGGTTGGACTGCGGCGCTTGTACAACGGCACTTTAGTCGTCCCATCATCATCAACCTACAAATCTCTTGACGCTCGCACGCACTTAGTGGCACGCACGCACGCCCTCTGCACGGACTCTACAGATCAGAACTCCGAAGACGGAGGAGGCCTTTCCGTATATTGCTCACACCATACAATCCGCCTGGCGATCTTGACGAGACATCGGACGAAGATGGGGAGCATCACTGCTGAGCCGCCAAATCTCCCCGTTTGTGGCACCGCCCAGCCGGATCCCATCAGAGTTCCAGTTTCTGGCTCTCCAGGTCTCTACCAAGGGCCGGAGCGCCAGCATCTCGAGAACCGCGGAGTTACTCACCGACGGAAAGAGACCAGAATGGAAAGTACCGTAGGGAATATTCCTGTTCTTGGTTGGCCGTGGTCAATATTGGATGACATCCATCACGGCCGAGGGCTGCGTACCCCCGTGGACCAAACCATGGACAAAGCGTGGTGATATTCCGAGAAGAATGAAGCCACCGCCCACGGTCAGAAAGCGGCCAGGACCAATCCGCAACCTTTTATATTCGTGTTCATGTCCGTCCTAATCGCCATTCGGATCCCAACAAGGCGTCTGGTAATGACTGCGTCCTTCTATGGATGTGTGTAGTGAAGCTCCTGTTTGCCTGGCTCTCTGGCCAATAGCACCTCCATCCTGTGGTGACGGATGGCGCCTCTTCGCAATGACAGCTTTTGTTCTTTGCACACAAGTGTCACCCATGGGCTTTGATGCCCGCATAATCGAATCAGAACTGACCATATCCAAGCTGATAAAGACTGGAGGAGGGCATCGGCTGTCTCTGGCCAGGGGATAAAAGACGCCCTTGCACTCCCAGTGTCATCTTGGCAATAAATATCTCAAGGTATCCGTTTTCAGGACACCATATTCAAGATCAGCATCATCATCGGTACCCAGAACCTTTACCACCCCCCCGAGCCATCACCGAGTAGAAAGGCCCCTAGACAGCCGATCCGTCACCCATACGCCAGTGTCGCAAACACCATACATAGCCAAGCAGCCAAGCCTTTGACAGTGTCGCAGACAAGAGCGCAGTCATACTCGACCTGATTGCAGTTCCGTGTCGAAAGCAGTCAGCCTTGGTTCGATCCGAGCTGGATCGACTTATACCGCGACTCTCTAGCCGTCATTTGTCCGTTGCGTGGAACAGCGTTAATTTCAAGGTGTGCTTGGCGTTGCGCAGCCCCCCGGTAGAGCTGCTGCGCTGGCGAGGACGAACAGAAGTCGTCATTGGGTACAGTGTGGCGGTTCATGGTTGTGGTGAGATGCCGATTCAACAAGTTCAGGTTTTTCTTTGATGAGAATGGGACCGAGGGTCCAGTCATCACCCCATTGCTAGCGCATTCCTGACACTGACAGCACCCGGCCCTCTGGCCCTAACAGGAAGTGCATCCCACGCACGACGTCCACCTGCAGCACCGCAGACGTCGACACCCCTCCAGCCGGCTCTAGGGTCCCCGTCTGGCATAGTGGAGCCCCTTGACGACTTCATCCACCTTTGAATTCTTTCTCCACGCGGGAGCAGGTCTGGTCCTCTGCCCTTGCTCAAAACTCAAAATTGTACTCACTCAGTACCGCATTTATCATCATCCAGTCGCGGCTAGTCGCTCATCGGGCTCTTTATGCCCGACATAGTGGCAACTTTGCCCTCATATAAACATTTTTTTGTCTGCCAGTGCTCAGATCAAGACCTCCCTCCTTCTCCAAATTTCGAGGCCCCTCCAAGGAAACATCGTTACAACCACAGCACAACACCCATCGCCGCCGCTCGGCCTTGACTTGAGGTCTGCTGAGTGCTAAAAAAGAGATTTCTCGCTCATTGACCCAGATCTACCACAATACCCAGGTGGAGCCACCCCGGCCTTTCTGACGGTCTAACAAAGTTGATTGGCCTGGAATAAAAAGACGATTGCGGCCCCAACATCGACTCCAATGCCTGCTCCAGTCATCGACCCCAGCACACCAAACACAAGCGTTCCTTCGCCCTGTAGTGGCACGCCCTCGCACACCAACCTACGCAACCAGTTTGACCCTCTCGGTCGCAGCAGCTTAAGCCAAATACGTCAATCCGAGCTCACCACCTCACCACCGTTTCCAAAAATCTGGATGGACACTCCAACCGTGCCTTCTCCACGAGCCACGGGCACTCGCAAGTGGTCCACGCCGACGCCGCCAGATACCCCAACGTCGATGACACCGCAATCCGAGTCCCTATCGTCCTCCCCCGAATTCACACATCTTCCCGACAGACCAACTTCCACCGGCACTCTTCCAAGCAAAGGTTATTATCCGGTCCAACATCACCAACACCACCACCCTTCTAGCTATTTACTCTGGGCTCTCGTGCAGACCCAGGCTACTTCTCATCCTCTCAGCGCTTCCACCTCCGCACCCTCTTGCACACCCGCATCCGGAAACTTGGCTGACCTTTCCTCTCACAAAGACTTTGGCCGGACCTCGTCGCCCCCGGAGTCGCTGCGAAAACTGGCCATGAAGGGTCAACTCATGGCTTCCGCCGCAACCACTCCCTCGTCGCCGACGATCTCTGTCAATGCTCCCTCGAATCGACAACAACAAGACAACAGCCAGCAAAAAGATCATGAGAGAGAACATCATGACACCCTCCTACCGGCCCCCGCTGTTGCCTTCTCACATGCGTTAAGATCGCTCAATGACTTGGACGGTGGTGTCGGTGGTATTGGTTTCACTGGTCAGCATAACCCAATAGCTTACAACTCCCCTTACAGCCAGAGCATACCCTCTACAGCTCCTGGATCGCCGCGAATGTATGTGTAACCCACCCCGCATAAGGCTGGACTTGTCTTCCGTTTTGGTTTTCATACACTTTCTATGCGCGTACTCTGGTGGTGCATCCCAACGATCAGAGTTGGTGATGATGTGGGGTTCGCGCTTGACTCACAAAAGCTAACTGTAATTTGCTATAGCCCGCCCATACGACAGAACTCGGGTTGGGTAACACCCAGGATACGACCACATGCCACGACGCTTAACATTCCGGGTATGACCCGATCGAGGGTTTCTCCTGATGGCAGAATTCCCGAACGAGATGTTGCCGCCAAGTTGGTAGTCATCATGGTCGGCCTGCCAGCAAGAGGAAAATCCTACATTACCAAGAAAATTCAGCGCTACCTCTCATGGCAGCAACATAACACAAAGATCTTCAATGTGGGGAACCGCCGACGTATCGCCGCTGGCGTCACTGGCAAGGGTGATCAGCCTGCTCCGACTTCGGCGGATGGCCACGATGACCACGATCCCCACGACGCGCCCAAGAGAGCAGCCACCATCCTCCTAAAAGGCAAGGATGCCCCTAAGATTACGCTGGAAGAGGATGAACCGACAACCTTGGACTTGAACGAGCACCGAGATGATTCGGCCCCCAATGAGCCAATCGATCAGTCAGCAAAATTCTTCGACCCGAAGAACGAGACTGCAGCGAAGCTCCGTGAGCAGGTCGCTATTGACACCCTCGATGAGCTTCTGAACTACCTCCTGCATCAGGGCGGATCCGTGGGCATCCTTGATGCCACCAACAGCAATGTCCATCGGAGAAAGCTTATTGTCGAACATATTCAACAAAGGGAGCCCAAACTGGGCATCCTCTTCATCGAGAGCATATGTCACGATCAAAATGTGAGCTTATTTGCGCTTTTTGCTGTTTTGATGAAGCCCTCGACTAACCAATTCAACAGCTCTTGGAGGCGAATATGCGCTTGAAGCTTGCCGGTCCTGACTACAAGGATAAGGATCCCCACCAATCACTTGCGGATTTCCGAGAGCGTGTTAAAGCATACGAAAGTGCTTACGAGCCGCTCGGCAAGTGGGAGGAAGATAATGATTTGCAGTACATTCAGGTATGGTTACTCTTGATCAAGACGTGCCGTTTCAGATCTTGTGCTAACATACCCAAGATGATCGACGTGGGCCGGAAAGTTATCCACCATAGACTCCGAGGCTTCTTGACGGCCGGCATCGCTTCATATCTGACCACATTCAACCTCGCACCTAGGCAGATATGGATCACTAGACATGGTCAGAGCCAGGACAACCAACTGCACAAGTTGGGCGGCGATTCGGGTCTGACTGAACGTGGTCACTACTACGCCCAGGCTCTCTACAACTTCATCACCTTTAAGCGTAAGGAATGGCTTATCGAGCAGAAGAACAAGATAGCGTCGTCGACATTCCCGCCAGCACCCGGCGACCACACGCCTCCGTACCCCGAACTGTATCAGGAGTTGGACGACAAGAACTTCTGTGTCTGGACTTCGATGCTCAAACGCAGCATCGAGTCTGCCGAGTATTTCGATGCCGATGACGACTACGACGTCAAGCAATGGGAAATGCTAAATGAGCTCAATGCCGGCACATTCGAGGGTATGACTTACGAAGAGATTGCGCAGCAGTATCCCGAGGAGTACCAGAAGCGGTCTAAGGATAAGCTTCACTATATCTATCCTGGTGTCGGCGGTGAAGGGTACCTACAAGTCATAAGTAGGTTGCGTGATATGGTACGCGAAATCGAACGCATCACCGACCACGTCCTCATCGTTGGACACCGTTCGGTTTGCCGTGTCTTGATGGCATATTTCATGGACTTGACGAGGGAATCCATCGCCGATCTGGATGTCCCGTTGGGCATGCTCTACGCTATCGAGCCGAAGCCGTACGGAATCGAGTTCCATGCCTACAAGTACGACGAGGCACAGGGGTGGTTTAAGGAATTGCCCAACTACAGACCTCAAAGGACTACCGACAGGAACAACTGAGAGAGTCCGGAAGCAGTTGGCGTGTTTGTCTATGCGTTGATTCATTTTTATATATGTTGGCGTCTAAGGGTTTGGTCCTTTTCTTGTTTTATTCTGTGGTCACACAGCTGGCGCAAAACGGTATATCCTAGGACAGGGCAGGCGATGCGAAGTTGATGACCTTGATGGAATTATGGATGAACAACTGGGCTTTTGTGGCATTTTTGGAACGGCGCGAACACATTCAAGAAATGTTCAACAAAGAAAAGGGGCCGAGGAGATTCGAAACCATTCTGCAGGTCGAGTACTTTTATCATCGTTATCTTTGGGGGTTCAGGTTCTGTATTTTGGGAATTCATCGGGGTTTTGGCGGAGACGGCGTTTTTGGTAGTCAATATCTGTCACCACTCTTACCGTCGAGGACGGACAAGATATCATCATGGCTTTGAGTTTTATCGATCGATGAATTCATACATGTATTACTCATTCTTACCTTTTTGACTTCCTGAACTTTTTTTACGTTGTTGCTCTGTTTCAACCAAAAGCGAGGAATGTTAGCAGCAGCCGGTGTTATGGGACCCGTGCTGCTCTCGTGGAGTTCTGTCGCTCGCAACACAAATTTGTTCTACTATACTGTACCATACGTACATATCTCAACTCTTCTTTGCTGCTTTCAGAAATCCATGTTACATTTATTCACACCTGCATATGTTGTGGTACTGGAGATCATATGCATAGGGAAAGTACAGCTCTAATCCGACGATGCTATTCCCAACGGAAAAGTATTCACAATATGCTTCTCGAATGCACCACCCTACAAGATACCATTATATCCCGATTATATAACGACTTTCATGCTTCTACCCATCCCCTCGTGACCGATGAAAACTGCATCATCATCATCGGCTCCACATCCATTACTTCAAGACCTTCCACCACGGCAGTCCACCACAGCGCCGCCACCCTGACTACGCATGTACCCCGGGATCCTCACCTTCTGTAACTCCACCATTTAGCGCAGATCTACACTACAACACTACGCTAACAACGAAAACGGTAGTCAGCGCATGCAGATTTGGTAGTCAGCGCATCCAACTACAAAAAAATGCCCAAGTAACGTGCACCATCACTTGCACCACCAAAAACCTCAAAAGTCACGGTATGCACGCGCAAGAATGTCCGACTCGAGCGATAAGGAAAAAGTATACGCGTGTAAGAATGTCCGACTCGAGCGACAAGGAAAACCCCGATCCCAAAGCTAACGAAGAGAAAAAGCCTTTGGCGAAAGAGGATATCGAGAAGATAGTATCAAAGTAGCCCCAAGTACTTTAGTTCTAGGGAATTTTTTGTCTAACCCTAAATTACCCTATTTTTCGTTACCTAGGTACGCTAAGATAAGGGGCCAAAACCACTTTCTTCAATACTGACATTTGCGTGAACACTTTGCACTTATTTTATTTAATCGTAGTTTTGAAAAGAGGGTAAAAGATTTTAGAGGAAGCTTTGGAAGGGAATACCAAAAAGGAAGCGAAACTCTGACGGTTGTTTTGGTTGAAATGTTTCAATTCTGAGTTGGAGACTTGGCCTTCTGTTGGATGCGCTGAATACCAAATCTGCATGCGCTGACTACCGTTTTCGCGCTAACAAGACCTCGCCCGAGGAGGTTGAGTTCATTGCTATCTCCTTTTGTTTAACGGTAGTTCTACCTCGCCCGTCTTCTTCCTGAATCTTAAGCAGCAGAACAGGTTGAGAGGAGGAATCATCATTTACAGACACGGTTTTCAGTGAAAATATGTTGACTTCCAAGTATAGCTCCGGAGGATACCAACTTGACGTAACTGTGCGTATATTGCGTTAGGGGGCTCCAGGGGATTCACCGATGGATGACATGCGGCGTAGATCCCATACTATGACCCCCCAGCTTACCAGCCTCACGACCACCAGCTAACCAGCTCCGCCAGGACAGCCGGACTATATCGCCTATGACGGACATACCATACACTAGACATCCTTACCGGGGTTCCGGGATTCAGTTCGGTTCGTCGGTTCTGTTCAGGTTCAGGTTGTGTAATCTAGGGGCATTTGAACGGTCACTGGACCGCCAAGTTGGGAAAGTCCGGCGGCACTGCACCCTAACCTTTGAGGCTCGCGGACAAGGTCCGCTACTAGTCGGTTATTTTCAGCTCCGCCGGTTTTTTAGCGGTGGAAGGAAAAAGGAAAAGGGAGGAAAAGGGATAAATGCCCTGGACCTGGACTCTGATGGCAGCTGATGTTTAAGCTGAGCTGAGCCATGTTCCATTCGACGGTGTAGGGATTGGGGGCTGGGTTCAGGGAGCTTTACTAGTAGTTGGGGTCCGTCCTTGTTCAGCACTTCCAGTTACACTACTTTGGCATTCCCAACAGTCTCAACGTATACATCCATCCATATGCACATACGTAATTGCTCCTATCTTTAGTTCTTTCCATTGCCATTCTTTTCGTTTGCAAACCCGGAGCGATCCGAACTCACCGCTGCATCGGATCTACCTCTACGCACCCTAGGTTGGTGGTTGAACTGGCTAGACTTGGATGGACCCTGAGGCTGGGAATGACCTCACTGGAGTGGGTCCACCCTCAGATCCCCTTTGGACCTGGACCCGCTTCGTTTTCCAGGGTCCCGGGTGTAGTCTGTAGAGGTACCGCTGCGTCGGAGCGGTGGGGTGGTGTGGGATGAATGATGCTGACGGATGGAAAGTAAGCAACGTCCCGTAGGTCTAGGGGAGGTGCCGAATGGTGTACTGGATCTTGCAGTGGCTGGCTTAATTCCTTGGCCTGAGGCTGTTGGGTGCAAAGTCGAGGATGCAACTCAGTTGCTGGTTGGTATCTTGTGAGAATCTGGGTTCGCTGATGGGTTTGAAGATTAACTGCTGCGATGTCGCGAAAGAGCATGTACTATACAGCAAACAAAAACATCTACCCAAACACCATGTGTGCCGTTCAGCGAGAATGAGATTGGGCGCAAAGACATGATCAATATGATATAACTGTAACTAGTGAGGACATTCCTTCATCCACCCTTTTCAGGTTTGAACAGTAGTAAACATCCGTCGTACACAAATTATACCAACTTCCATGTCCGCCCTCAGATTGTATATACCACCAAGCCACACGTCTCCTATTCATCCTCCCATCTTCCTTCGCCCATCGCTCCTTTTGGGTAAACGCTAGGCTAGGTAACGAACAAAACGAAACGATAAACGAAAAAACAAAAGAAACTATGGTCATAACATCGTCATATCTCATCAAGAAAGAGTAGAAAAGAAAAGAGAAACAACAGACGTGACAAGGGAAGCCATAGCCACCCAAGTCACCACCAATACTGACACCAACAATCATCACCATTGAGCACCCATTCTGCTTCCTTTTTTCTCTTTTCCCAGGCAAGGAGACCCACCAGGAAGAAGAGACTCGTTCCTCAAGACAAAACATCATTGCCGCGCCGCCGGTCAATCGGTAAGAGGATTCGAGTAGTACTGCCTAATGTACTAGTACCGAAAGTCGAACAAAAAGACGCTGGAAGAAAATCGAAGAAAACTCTATCGTGATCAATGATGAAGACGATGGACGCTATTATGGTATGGTCCGATGATCGGCGGTTGGCAAAGATGTTTCGTCGTGAAGGAAGGAAGCAGGGAGGGAAGGAAGGATCGCGTTGTGAAGATGCGAGTCATCCCAATTGTTGGAAGGAGCCATGCGATGAATGCGGGCAGTGCGGTGTGTAAGGTAGTGGGTCAGAGACGGGACCGAATCCTTCAACTCGGAAGGAAAGAGAAAGTATTCCATTTCTCTCCAAATCCGAATTCGAATTCTCTTCCTGTCCCGCCCACTTTCACAGGTACACTCACTCGCCACACCACATCGAAGCCCTTCGATTGTTGGTTATCCAACATCATGTTGCGCTTTGCGCATGGTCCGATGGAGTCGTTATCGTCGGTTGTCCGTCTCGCACCATCCTCAATCACCATACCCTGTGAATATTCTCAACATCCTCTCCTGCTTCGCCCAGGCCCGAATCGCGGTGGCTGACAATACCACTTACACTTCCGTTGTCGCCCGAGTTTCTCTCCTTCTTGGCCACCAGCTCGCCGCCAAGGCCATATCCAGGCACTGGTGGTGGCGCACGGTTGGGCTGTGACCTGGTTTTTAGTGGTGATGAGCCCTGGGGCTGCTGTGTTGGCTTCGGGTAGTGAAATCTAGGTATGCTGACGGGTGTTGTTGTCGAGTTCCCGGTTGATGGTCGTTGAGGAGTCTCTGGTCGCTCCGATGTTGGTGCCAGTTGGTACTCAGGCTCAGGAGAGTCGATGGTCATAGCATCATCCTCGTCCCCATCCCTTGTAAGATCCATGCTGTCCTCCTCTCTTTGATAGCCATTGACATGTACGTAGGTATTTGTCGTCATTGGCATTGCTTCACTCGCGCTCGGACGATGGCTCCTTGTCGACTGCTCTTCTACGCCTCGTTGGGACTTGTGGCTGACACTATTACGCCTGCGAACAAAGCCGAGAAACCCTTTTCCCGAAGATGAGGAAGCCGGCCTTTTGGGCACCTTGGTTATCCTTGCCTGGCCAGGGCGGACCGGAGTGGCAACGGACATCGCCTCGTCCAAGCCGTTGGCCTGGCGAGGAGGAGAGAAGAAAAAGGCAGCGCCTTCTTCTGACAAAAAGTTACCCTTCAACCCAGCGCTCGTGGTTGGCCTACTCTCCATGCTCTCCCTGGTCTTCCCCTTATCCTTGGAGCCGAACATGACGGACGCGGCGACGGATCGAAAGCTTGACATGGACGTACGGGGCTTGGTTGGCGAGGAAGGTCGCTCATCAAACTCGATCTTCGACTGTGATTTCCTCAACTTCTTGGCCAGCTTGCGGATCGAGCCGTAGTCGACGTTGGTCTCAATGTTGTTACCATTGGGATCAGTACCGCGCTTCGTTCCGCGGGAAGGCGAGTCTGGGGCAGTCACCGGATCAGTTTGTGGATGAAAATAGTCGTTTACAAAGGCAGAACCAATTGTACGTGTTGGCTCTTCCCTATAAGGCGAGGGAAGAGGAGGTGGGGCCATCGACTTGTTAACGGGTACTGACGCTGTCTTGCGATGGAAGCCGGTGAAAATAGCATGCAACTTCTTTTCATCATTGTTCTGGTGTTTCTGGGCCAGGTGTTCGGCAAAGGGCTTCAGGTCCTCAGCTGGCGACTCTGGTCGGCTGGGTACTGGCGAGGGACGACTGGGGAAAGCAGTGGTGGCGGCGCGAGCCCTAAGACTAACACTGTCATGTCGGTTTGGACTGTTACTCAATACGGTGCCCGCGCTTTGGGCGGCTCGAAGGGGATGTCTGGTGCCGTGAATAGCGTGCTGCTCAAAGAATCCCGATGCCACCAAGTTCTTGTAACTCTCCATCACCTCTTCCTTAGTGGGGTAATCGGCGGCCGAGAACTTTTTGGCTGCTTCCTTCGCCGCCTCTTGATCGCGCGTCGCCAGCGCTGCGGCTGCTCCCCTAAAGACAGGCACAGGCGGTACGGGAGGTGGTGTCTCGACAGCTGGGGTGCAAGGCGCCGTCATGGTTGAGCCTCGACCACGGTGTATCGACGATCGGCTGTCTGCTTGAGTGTTCAGAGAGGGCCGTCCCGTTGCGTCTTTGCCGCTCACCAGGCCCCCCCAAGACTTGCTACGACTCAGGCTGAACTTTTCGCGGACGCCATCCCATAACGGCGAGAGAAGGAACTTGCTCTTGCTGCGACTGTGACCCATCGGAGGCTGCACCGGCGTCTGCTGTTCTTCCTGCTCGTTTTCTTGTGGAGGTGCGGAAGGCTCATAAGCAGTATAAGTAGTATAAGTGGTCTGACGGGTGTGGTGTCGCTCCATGGTTGGAGGGTGTTCGGTGGCCGGCGTGCCAACAAACTGTCGCTCGTATTCCTCGACGTCCATATCCTCCAGGTATGATGGCGGCGGGGCAGCGGAAACACGGTCGTTCATTGAACCCTCAACAAATCGGCTGAAGCTAGCGGCCGAGGAGGTGTGGTTCAACTTGTGGCCGCCGGGGCCGATGGCAGGTGACTGTGGTGGACGGGACGACGCCATTGTAGTCGGTCTCGAGAAGTTAACAAATTCCCTCTTTTGTGGGGCGACCGTCGTCTTGTCGTTCTTCTTGGGTCGCAGGTGCGAACGGAATCGCGCCCTTGCGGACCGTAGCAGGCGACCAAATCGGTCGGCGGAGGGCTTGCTTGGGTCCAGGCTGGCTAGTGTCGTCTGCTGTTCGCTATCGTGAGGAGAGTCGATCAGTGAACATGTCAGCGTGCATGGGGAGAGGCGATGCGGCATTCTGGTTGCGGCGTGTCATGCAACAGGCGACAGACACCTACCAGCAGAAATCGCAACGCTCCTCGTCGGGCGAAGCGGACTCGCTCACGCGGCTTCGGCGAGGTTTTGTGTGCGTTTAAAGGAGTGCCGGCTGACGAATGAGTGGTTTATTCGGTGAGCGAGTGGATATCGAAAAGGCGGTGGTGGGCGTTATGGGAGGTTGGGGGAACCGCGGACGTGGGTGGTGCCAGGCGATTGAGTGGGTTTTGTTTACTTTTGGCGCCAAAAAGGAGAGAAGACCGTCCGAACTATCGTTCCCCCCCAGCAGCCGGAGCTGCACCCCCAGCAAGCCCAGCAGCACTCCGGTGGGTGTGTGCCCTGGTGTCCGCTAGGGTGTCCGCCCGTGGTCCTGTTCCTGCGTTTCCAGGAAGCTCGCAGCCGGGCAAGGCCGAATCAAACAAATCAAATCAGGGCGCCCAGCGGCCGGCCAGCTGTGCCTTGGTGTCCCCGCCGCTGAGTCCCGTCTCTTGGCCTGCGCAGACCTGGCAGACCTGGCTGCCCCCCTGTTCCATGGAAAACCTGGGGAAAAAGAGGACAAAGGCCAATGAAAAGGTGGGGATGCCTCATTTTATTTTCCCTGCTTGTGCGGCTTTGAAATGGAAAACCAGTGTCTCGGATCACTTTTTCACTCAATCTGGTTCCCATGTTTTGGAAAAATGAGACAAATATTCACAGTGTTTCGGGGCTTGGGTCTGGTCATTTTTGCGGTGGACTGGAGCAGGAGGATCACCCATTGCACCCCATTGAGACCCCCGGCGGCCCCGTCTGGTAGCGGGTCAGTAGCGGGCCACTGTCCATCACGAACGTCTATCAGTCCCCATCAGGCAGGCCAGGGCCAGGGGGGCCCAGGGGGGCAGATGGATGACAGAGCGCATGGCCCCCGGGAGCCCGGCGGAGAGGTGATATGCTTTGCATTGGCCTCGCGTGCCGTTGCGGGTAGCGGTAGCAACTTGCGCCGGTGACCTGCTGCAATTGCAATCTGGCTTCCATGCTGCTGACTGCACAAGTGCCACAGTTCCTCCTGTTCTTGGGACGACATGTTGTTTCCGTTCTCGAATGGTGAATGGGTTGGGTGTCTGGAGGCGCCCATATCTTCAGGAGCCAGTCCAGGGGCGTTTCGCCCGTGACACCATCGTCGCACAATGGTGCGCTTTCACAGCAACCAAAGGCAACTGCTCCCAAACACCAAGTGTCCCGAGAGGAAGAGACTCGGAGGCTTTGTTGGTTGGCGTTCACCGTCCGTTGTGACCGTCCGACGCGGCCACCACGATAGCATACAGACCCAAGTACCTTGCCCCGAGGTACATATACCCGCCCGGCTGAACGATCACCGATCAACTGGCCCACGGTCAACGGCCCTGCAGCCCGTCCGAGGCCCGTTCCAGTTCAATGCAGCCACCACGCTCAGAAAGGTGAGCGAACCCGTGCGTGAATGAATGTATGTGCGCGGGTTTAACATTCATTTCTGGGAATGACCATCTACAACGGTATTACCCAAGGAGATCAGTTTCGATACATACCTACACGACGGAAGGCAGATGAAATTTCCTGCACGACATAGCTACATCGTGATTTTCCCAAATACATCCGAGCTTGAGAAGATCATATCTTACCGAGCGGAACGAGGAAACTTATGAACTGGCTATCGCCGAGCTTCGAAAAAAAAAATCATAAACAAAACAAAACGCCGATATGAAACCTTCCCGTTCAACATCCGATTGCCGCTCGGACCTCGATGATCTTGATTCTCGCAAAAAAAAAAAAAAAGGCCGCAATGCGCGACACACCTAATGTCCTACTAATGTCCCCTTTTTCATCTCGGTGGAATGTCCCATGGCGGTTCTGGTTGCCGTACTAACTAGTCGTCTTTTATTGTCCGAGCGAAACCTAACTCCACTGATCATGGATCAGCAGATCAGGTAGGTGAACGTTCGCTAACTTGGGGAAACTAAACAAGCCTAGGCGGACCCGATTACCACTCTACAGCCAAGTTTTTTTTTTCTTCCTTTTTTTCCTTTCCTTTTTCTTTCGTCTCCACCTCGGCCGAGCTTTTCATCTTGGTTTCTATCTTCTGTCCAACCTTTTTTTTTTTTTCTTTTTTTTTTTTCCCTTTTGGGTTTCTTTCCCGTATTTGTTTTTCTACCTTTCGTCTCTTCTATGGTTTTGTGGCTTTTCTTCCTGTCTCGTCCCATGCTAAGGTTGGAGCTTCTTTCAGTTAACTATCACACAACTGGCTGATCTCTGTCACGACACCGGCAGACCACTTCACTATCCGGTCCATGTTCCTGCAAAAGGTTACAAGTAACCAAAGCTGGCAAAAGTCGGTTCCTCAAAGTGGTACATCTATGTTGCGATAACAGATGCTCTTTGCATATGCCATCACAATCTCGAAAGTCACACATGAGCCAGTCGGACCCAAGTGGTAGCCGCAAATCCAACCAGGAACATCGGCCGTGTCGAAGAAACATGCATTGTCCACGGGCTATTTGATATGCTTCGCATCACATTGTTGGATTTGAAGCGATGTCCTGGCATCAATCTACCGTCAACCTGGATTATGCCAGGCCGATCTAAGTCTGGGCGCCTTCCGGCCGCGCTTCGGATTTCGCCGAAAGGTCTGTTTCGCCGATCACTATACCGTAGATGCTCGGGAAACTCAGAATGGCTCTGACGCTGGGTTATAGGACGCTTGGCGGGAGTTATGCCAGTTGTGTTGCAGTTGTCAATGCCTAGGCAGAGACATGATCACCGGACACCTTCAACCCTGCAGTGTCATTCTGAGTTTTCCGAGTTTCTACAGTAAGTTCGGCACTTTCATCTTGAACTAATAACCTTGGATTCCTATCTTCTTGTCGTTCCATACGACTTGACTGTTGACTATTCCGATTGGATCCCGCGCACCTTATGAAACCCGATTTATAACCTGAACAAGTATGTAGACAGAAAAAAAAGGAGAAGACAAGGTGAAGAGAACATAAGAGAGAAGAAGAGAGAAATGTCAAGAAGGAACGTATGTAGTAGCAGTGATGTCTCTAGCTTTTTTCTTCAACGCCAACAGCTTGGTCTGGTGGTATATGTGCAGCCAAGATCCCTCAGCATCCAACTTCTGCATGTACCAAGTATATGCGTGCATGCTTCAATGCGTCTCTGTGGGCTATGCCCAGAGCACGTGTGTAGCCAAACTCGTACAGCATTCAACGACATTCAAACCCTAATCCAAACAAGCAGAGAAATTTTTGTGCGATGGTCGGTAGTCAAGACGAGACAAGAAAAGGACACCACAAACTGACAGACTGGACAGACAGATGACAGAAAAAGATCAAGACATAATTTGCGCGAGCGAACCCGGACCGAATGAGAAACCATTATTTAGAAACCGAAACCGAAGCCAAATTTGGGTCAAAACCCCTCAAAACCCCGGCGCCGCAGCCGATTAAACGCCTCAACACCTAGCTCAGCAGCAACAACCCCAACAAGCCATTCAAGAAGAAACTTGTTACTGTGTGCGGAACTCGCTCAGTTTCAGTACTCCGGAAAGCCCTTGATCGACCCTCAACAAGATACCCACAAAGTAAAGAACACCCATGAAGATATGGTTCATCCTCAATACCCGCCAATGTCCGCCTGCTTGCACTCAACGCTGCCGTCAGCACGCCTATACTTGAAAATGGGAAACGGCTCGATGTCGTCCAAAGTCTCCCCCCGCTCGCGCGCCCCATCCTGGTACCGCCTCATTTCGGGATCGGCCCTGAACGTCTGATCGTGCGCACGCTTCGAGCCAGCGACCTGCGGAGGCGGAGGAGGAGGCGGCGGAAGGTAGTTGTAGCCGCCAGAACTTGTGGGACCGCCGCTGTTGCTAACGGAATAGGCACGAGGGTAAGGCGGAGCAGCCATGTTGCTGGGGCTGACCATTGGGTGGTGGTTGTGGCTGGCGGAGGGAAGGTGATCGACTTTCAGAGGAGGTAGAGGCACATGCAGGGACCTGTGAGGCGGCTGAGTAGGAGGAGGAGGGACGGCCACACTACTGAGCGGCGGCAGTCTGTATGCCTTTGTACTTTGGTGGATGCTGTCGTGACGAGGAGCGGGGTTGATGGGCGCATAGGTCCGCGATGGTTGGTGTTCGGACTGGTATAGCGACTGATGGGGCGGTGGTGGCGGAGGGTAGGAGGACGGTTGGTGTTGATAAGGTGCGCCTTGGCTCGTGGGGTAGACGGGCGATGGGGGAACCGAGTGAGGTTGGGCGAAGCTTTGTGGTGGTGGTTGAGCAGGATATTGGTGATGTGTGTTTCCTCCCAAAAATCCCAGATGGCCTCCGGATGTCGGTGTCTGAGCGGCGTATTGAGGGGGGTAGTCAGCCATCGAAGGCCGGCGTTGAGGATCACTGATGGCGGAGTAGGGCGTCCTCTCGGTGCTTCCGCTCGTCGATCTTTGTCGGTAGGCTTCCTGCTTCGCAGTGTCGGGTGTGGCGGTCCTCCTGGCCCTCCGATATTCCTCCTCGCCATTCTCATAGTCGTTACCACCACCGTTTCCTTTTCCATCGCGACGTCTCATCCTCACATCACGCCTGATACGAACGCGGCATCCTTGCTCGGCGACGGTACGACTAAGAGGCGTGCTCTCAGTCAATCCGGGGAACTTCTTGGCGCTGTAGACGACGAAGTCATGGGACTTGATATCCATTCGGAAGTCGAAGGATCCTGGTGAGCCGTCCTGGGGGGCTTTGGGGTCTTGGGGGTCTTTATCCTTGTCCTCCTTGGTTTCCTCATACAGGTTGAATGTCAGTTTATAGCGACCCTCGTGGCGAACAGACAAATCCGGGAACAAGAAGTAGCCGGCCAACTTGGGTCGGTCAAGATAGGCCATGCCGGAGACAGGCATGCCAGTCAGCACAGGCGGTGTGTTGGCCGAAGGGGTCTGGAGACGACCCTGGGCCATAACACGGGCGTGCTCGAGCGTGGCATAGAGGAAAAAGTTGGCGTTATACTGGAAGGTGACATCCCTCTCCTGGGCCATCTCAAAAGATTCACCCTCGAAGATGCGCAGCTCCACGACCGGAGGCGGGTCCACGGGGCGACGGTCGGCGGATGCTGAAAAAAGTATTAACGATCCGCCAGCGATCCGGCTCTTGACTCTGGCACTTACATTTAGGGCCCGAACCGCACGCTCTCGCACGCAGGGGTTCTTGGACGACCCTCAGGGAATACCATAGCTTTCGGCCGCTTCTAGTTATGCGACTCCTGACACTGGCTACGGGCTCATCGTCATGAGAGAGGCCGTTGGAGGCAGCGGCGATAACCTGAGCACCCATACTGTCCACCTCAACAACCAATTTGCAGCACCGAGGTCCTGAGCGATTTCCGTTTTTATGATCCTACTTTGCAATCCCACAATGCTGATAATGGGTGATTACTGCCCAGATCGCCGGGGAGGGGCTTTGGTCTTGAACTAGAACTTGCCATAATCAGCGTCATTATTCGCGAATTTGATGCGACCAGAATCTTCCACACGCAGAGACTGGACTGCAATTATTGGGGCGCTGCGCGTGGGAATGATGAGACGGGCCGCAGCAAGTGAGTCCCATGACAGCGCTTGGATTGATGCGATGCACAAGACGTGCAGTTGCCACTCACCCTGTGACCTTGCGGCAGGAAACCAAGCAAAGAAAATTGCTGGCAGATTGACGTCGGAATCAATTTTTTGATGCAAACGTCGATGGTTTTGGAGCAGACCGTCGTCGCTTCTGGGTCGGAAATGTGTTGAGAAAAGATGGAAGGAAGTAAAGACGACCAAAAGACGACGGGGCGGACGAGGATTGAACGACGGGGAAGCGAGAGGAGCAGGTGGAAGCGCTACCGACAGAACAAAACAGGGACGGCCTGGGAGTGGATTGTGGTGGGGGGATGGGCCTGGGGGAGCTGAGGGATTGGCTGGACGAAGAGCAGACGAATGGGTTACTGGATGGGGTGGATGGCGGATGGAATGGGGGTGGTGACCGTGGGTGGGCTATCGCTACCTCTATGGGACTGGACTACGGACCCAAAGATCCCAGAAACCAGAGCGACGGGTATGAGCTGTGTGAAGTGCGACCGCCTTGGGACTGCTGCTATTGGTCGCTTGCCCGCAAACTCGGCGAACCTCTCTGGAACGGACGTCCACGTATTGTTCCAAGCCTTTGGGGCGACCACTCGACTGCAGCCAGGACCGTAGCACTGTCACCGTCTTACTCGTACGACCTGGGTAGGTAAGTACGGAATGCGGGTGAGGTGTCTGGGCGTTTGGAGGGCTGGACCTGAGCTCCCGTCCGGTGTCGTTACTCGTGTCGCTCTCAACAAAGATCAACAGCAACGCTTTTTGAGACCAAAAGGGAGGAAACAACAAAAAACGGGCAAACCCAGGACAAGGGTCCAAGGCACTGAAGAGAGGGCCAGAGACTCCAGACTCCAGAGGGGGGCCTCTGCGAAATGAGCGCGGACGGAAAATGTGACAGACGGTTAGACCATGCATGGAGAGGTTGCATCAGCAGTGGACCGCCATAGCTCCCTTCTTGCCCTCTCTGGGCCTGGTCCCGTCATCTGTCCCTTGTCCGGTGCCGCTTGCTCTCACCCTCTCTCAAGCGACACAGTCGGACGAGTGGCCGCCAGCGCGCTCCCGACTGGCCGGACACAGCTGACACCTTGACGGGCGGTTTGTTAACGGTTTGCACTCGAGTGTAACCCTCTCAAGGTGAATTGAAGGGATACACAGTGCCCAATCGAGCCAGCGAGATGATAAGCCGTGGAGAGTCTCAGTGAGAGTCTGTCCCAGCTGGGCTTAGTGCCGTTTCTCCGCCACCATCTCGACAACCTTAACAAATCCTCACATCCTCGGGGCGGGAGGGCGCTCGGACGGCTGTGATGGCCTCCCATTGGACATCTCACCCTCCGCTTTTGATCCGGGGTTCAGGTTCTGCCGTCCATTGGTGCTTTTCTCGTCGAGGTGGACCTTTGCCGGCTTCGCGTGGACCTGGTCACTCCTGGATGTTGATCCGCGAACCATTGCTTGTGCCTTGTGGTCTCCATTCGCTGTGCCAGGAAGCTACTTCCGCGACCCGAAGACCCCATCGCCTCGACGTTTGTTTCTCCATCGATGCAATCAGTTAGTTCTCAGGACAAGGAAGGAGACACTAACGGCCATAACAGCATGATTATTGCCGCAAGACATCTCGATAACAAAGACCTCGACTGGTCCATATCAAGATTCAAGATCCATCTGAGATCCAGTGGCACTAACACGCCCATCCATGATGGATTGATTCATGGGCCCACGGTGACATTCCACTTCCACTTCTTGGAATCTGGGCTCGATGGAGCATCGTCCCGGATTTTGGCTGGATTTTGCGCTTTTCTTTTCGCCAGGGAACGTGTGCCCGGGGAGGGGGGAAGACTGGCCCTGGCTCGGTGCTTCTGTGCCTGTTGTGGCTCGACACCTTCGGCCGTTATGTTCCGTCGTGTCTTCCTCGCCAGTGCTCATGTCACACGGCCATGTGCCAAGCGAAGCTAGCCGTCAAAGAAGAAATTCAGAAGTGTCGTGGAAGCGATGAAGAAGCCTCAAAACGTAAAAGTCTTCAAGACACGAGCCAACGACGATACGACCCCCATTCTACTCGGGCTTTATTTTCCATTTTTGAAAGCGATCGGGCAGAAAAAGAAAGGGGGGACCTGGAGCTGGAGACCATGGATGCAAACATTCACGATGCTACGTCAAGGTGGTAACTGAGATTTACCCGAGGATACTGTAAGTGCCGTCTCACCACCCTCCCGTCCCAGCGCTCCGGGGCGCCACTGTCTATGCCATTGCTATGAACTCCTCAGAGCGTCAGCATCTAGATGTCCCGGTGTCAGCATTATATGGACTTTTTTAGTATCAACCCCGAGCGTTTACCTTTGATTGCAGGTGCTGGCTCCAACCAGATAAGTGGGACAGCTTGAGTTCCGAGCAGTGGGTGTTTTGACACAAACTCCTCTGAGAAGAAGATCCAGGTGCTTGGAACGACTCCGCGATAACACATTCACTTCGGTAGCTTGGGACCTGCCTTGGGAGGAAATGTGTGCAGCAGCGATGATGACCAAACATGATGAAAATAGTACTTGTATTGTTTCTTCACAGTCTATAGCGTAGGTACAAGTTGTAAATGGTCGATGATGCTCCCATGAGGTTCGTTCACCAGCACGGTGGTCAACGCTCCACAATGCAGATCACTGTAGCTGTGAGTCGGAGCTTGGGCCGCCCAGCTTACGAGCGCTCGAGGAGCGGTCGCCCGTTTCACCAACCGGCCGCGCGCTTCTGCTTTAGGTTGGGGCGTCTCCGGGAATGGATGAAGACTATAGGGTATCGTGTCCTTGGACATGCCACTGGCAACTTCAGGGGGGCATAATCGGAGGCGTAGAGATGGAGACTTTTGTGATCCATGTTCATCACAGTCATCCCGGTTCGTGACCCGAAACATCGGAATATCTAGCACCACTCGCTCGGTCGCTGGGTCGGTGCTATGATTTATCCAGATCTCTCTACTGCACCTTTCGGCGCCGGGCTCCTGTCAACTTCGTTACCCAGGCATACAACCGTGCGTTAAAGCAGCGATACACCTGGGAAACCAGAGTTGGGATCGTCACATCGACATGACCAGTGTGTACCACTTCGCACTGCGCTGAGGTTGGGCATGGGAACCCTACTGACTGGGACACACCGTACCTCCGGCATCATACCCCCTCACCGAATCTCCGGGCAACGAAGTCAGGGTGCATATATGGGTCAGATGCTCGAGAGATGTAGAAGCAAAAGGCGAGGCACTGTCATGGCATGCACCGGAAGAGGCGCATCGGAGCTCGCGGGGTACATGTTAGGGTGTTGTGGACATGCCGTGCAATGTGTGTAGATTGATGATCCGAGCTAAGTCCGGCTAGGAACCTGGCCGACTCGAGGGGAAATACATGTACTCCCAGTGCTTCCCGTACTGGGTACTTCCTTCCCTAGAGTCTGGCTTGTGCCTGCCTAGCCTGGCCTATACGTGCCTAGCCCAACGGCTTAACAATCTACCCCCCGTTAAAAGCGCTATGTTCTTGCGAGCTATTTCTAAAGTAAATATATAAAATTTCGTTAATGATGGCTTATTTTGCTCTTCTATAACTATACTTCTAAAATATTTACTTCGATTTACTTTATAAGTAACTAAACGTTGAATTCTAAGCCCGTATCATTATATTCCATTAAATACTTTATTCTTAACTTTTTTTCTTTTTACGCCTTAATTGTTAATAGCCTATCGATTCCCCTAATAAGCGTTAACGCAAGCAATTATCTACCATATAAGTCCAGCTTTCTAATTAATTCTAAATAATCCAAATTAATTATAGGGTAAATCTTTTAATAATTAAGGAAGTCTAGTTTATACGTAGAACGTCTAATTCTTTCCGTTACTCTAAAGGGTCCCACGTAGCGAAGTCCTAGCTTTATTCCTAGAATTATGGCTTCCGGAATCGAATATCCTTTATATAAATGTAAATAAATTCGTTCTCCTACGGTAAATAATTTTGTAATATATTTTCTATTAAAGTAGTATTTTATTATTATCGTAGTAATGAATAGAATATTATAGGCCTCGATTTTAGAAATTAGTAAGTCTAATTAATTTAGGAGTCTACTAAATACGACTTTAATAATACTGGCGGACTAAAATCTATATACTATCTTAGTCGGGGATTATTATATTAATAAAGACTTATAATTATTATACTTAAATTCCAATTTTAATAAGATTTCTAACTATTATCCTACGTTCTTTAAGTTTTAAATATAATATCGTAAAGCGGATTTAATAATTTAAATTAGGCGTTCTAATTATCTGTTAATTGAAGATTTATAGGCGGTACTATATAGAAGTTTAGTTCTTAAGTATTACTAAATGCCTTTCTATATTACTAATACGAATTTCGGGTCCCTATCGGTAAGAATTTAACGTAGTAATCTCCAATTCCGAAATAGGAGCGTCTTAATTAGTATTTTTCCCTATTACTATGGAATCTACGTTAATTTTCTAAAAATAATAATAATTTCTTTATTATATTTATAAACGATAACGAAATAAACGTTGTAACCTTCCGGCGTTATTAGTAGATTCAATATAAAGTCTATAGTAATAAAAAAGTATAGGTATAGTAGTTCTAATAATTATTATAAATTTCCATATAGCTTATATCTCTAAATATTATTAATCTTGCATTTTGGGCAGGACGTTAGGAACGTCATTAGCCTTTTAGAGGTCTTATTAATATAGAAGTTGAATAAATAAGGTATAAATCTATTATATCCTTGGTAATTTCTACTATATAGGGCCTCGAAGATATTGTGGAGGCTATTTCTCGAGATTACGAGCTTAAAAGATTCGTTTTGGACTTTCTAAAGAAGGCCGTTTTGGATTTGAAACGGAAGTTCAGCTTTCTCAAGGCCTAAGGTTTCGTTCTATTAAATTATTTTATATACTATTCTTTAACGTAGGTCTTCGAAATACCCTTATATTAAGTATTAACGGAAGCCTATTTCAATAGTAACGACTGTAACGCCTATCGAAATCTATATTTTATCGAACTATTCGTTATTAATAAAGTCCTTTAATACTTTAATCCTAAGTAAAAGTAATTATATCTAATTTATACGTGTTTAATTTGTTTGTATTTCATTTACGCCGCCGGTTAATACTTAATATTCGTTAGCGTCGT